TCTCGTCTTGCCACCCGCTCGTCTTGCGTTCGTCGTGTTTCCTCTCCTTTCAGAATTCATTTATTTGTTCTGTTTCGCCCAGTGTCGCGACGGCGCAGCGCCGCGGGGGCTTGGATTACAGGAAGGGCCGACCGCGGACCCACTTTTACGGCTAGCATGCACGAACCGCCTCCGCTCAACGCGCCTCACTTCAATCTAGGTGTGTGTGTGTGTGTGTGTGTGTGTGTGTGTGTGTGTGGGGGAGAGAGGAGAGAGAGAGAGAGAGAGAGAGAGAGAGAGAGAGAGAGAGAGAGAGAGAGAGAGAGAGAGAGAGAGAGAGAGTGTGTGAGTGTGTCCGCCCTTCCGTCCGTATGTAAGTGAGTGTGGGGCGGTGGCGGTGTACGTTTGTCTGTGTGTATGTGTGTGTGTGTGTGTGTGTCTGTGTGTCTGTGTGTCTGTGTGTCAGTGTGTGAGTGCGCACGTCGCCATCACGCTTCCGGCCACTCCAGCGTAACGTGTGCCTCGCGCACACGAAATTACTACGAAGTAAAAATAAAAATGAACAGTAAAAAATGTGTTTTGTTGTTGATGTTTTGTTTTTTAGCGGATTAACATCTGAGCCGTAATCAGGCCGCGCCGTGAAAGTGAAGGTGAAGTGCTCTCCAAGCGCACTGGGCTGCTAATTTTATGAGCGGCTGCACGTAGCCGGCTTTGTATCAACGAGACGGGTGCGCTGCATGTCAGAGTTGAAAATGCTCCAAAATATAAAATTGATTGTTGGAACACTCGTTACATTTGTCTTTTCTTTGTAACCAACGTCAGCGAAAAGGCGGTTAAATGAAAGCAAGCTGACACCTTTATGTGTCTTATATTGTGCTAGGTATGTTTTGAAGCAGTAAAGGAATCATCTGCTAAAAAAAGAAACAAGTTACATGTCAGCAACATTATTTTGTTTTTGTGCTGGCCGAAGTTTGTATTTTATTTTGTTTCTGTTTTTTCGGGGTAGGTCTGGGGAAGTGTTGGTGGGTTTCCACGGGCCGCACCGAGCGGGCCGCGCGCCGCCACCAAACTATCTCCCGGCTGCCGGCGAGGCTCGAGGCTGCCGTCCCACAGTGGGCCAGAGGAACGGTGGAGGCGGCCAAAACTCTAGACGCGTTTTGAGCTACAGAGTCGCTAAACAGGCCTCGAAACGAACATGTGACCCCACCAATGGATTCCTCGTTCGGAGAGCAATCCATTGGTGGGCTCACACGTTCGGTTCGAGTCCTGCTTTGCGACTCTGGAGCTCAAAACGAGTCCAGAGTTTTGGCCGCCTCCACCGGCTTCTGGCCCACTGTGCGTCCGCCGCGCCATGGCCGCGCCGTCCCGCAGACAGATTAGTGTGACGGTTCAACTCGGAGATTTCCGGCAGAATTCTTTGTGCTGCCGGCGCGCTCTCCGGGGACTTTGGCGTGGCAACAGTCGCCGGGGCGCGGCGCGGCGGGGAGGGGGGAGGCACTGTCAGTCTAAAAAGATCCGCGAATTTCCGGTGGAAGGGACGTCACCAGGGCGGCAAGGACCGTCGCGGTGCCGCGATGCATCCTCGCACCTCGCGCTTCTCCAGGGGCGGCCGAGTTTGAATAACCGCGCGCAGAGGGCTTCGCTGTTGTTTTTTGTTGTTTCTTTTCTCCTTTTCCATTGTAGGCGTAATTACTCCGGACGGCGGCCCAGTACGGCCAGCACGGCCAGCACGGCGGGGGCGGGGAGGCCGCGAGGGCCGCGGCAATGGCCGCTGCAGCGCCGCGCCGATAGTGGGCTTTCAGTCTTCATCACCGGGATTAGAGGCGATTTGTCACGCGGACAACTGGCGCGGGGCTCAGCGGCGCGGCGCGGCACGGCACGCCACGGCGCGGCTATCTCTGTAATGCTGCTCGGCCAAGCCGAGTTGTGGGCTGGAGATCATTCATGACCGTGCCGTGCCGCACCGCACAGTGGGCCAGAAGACCGGTGGAGGCGGCCAAAACTCTAGACGCGTTTTGAGCTTCTGAGTCGCTGAACAGGCCTCGAACCGAACGTGTGACCCCACCAATGGATTCCTCGTGTGGAGAGCAATCCATTGGTGGGGTCACACGTTCGGTTCGAGTCCCATTTAGCGACTCTGGAGCTCAAAACGCGTCTAGAGTTTTAGCCGCCCCCACCGGTCTTCTGGCCCACTGTGCACCGTGCCGCGCCGCGCCACGAGATCGTCTCGGCCCGCTTCATCATCACGGCGCCCCGACCCGGCCGACGCGGCCCGACGAATCGGCTAAAACGGCTCAGCAAAGTTGGTCCGCCGGCTTGTTTCGCCATTCGGCAGCCCAGCCGGGGTCCGGGAGGCCTGAGAGGCCAGGGAGCCGGATCGGCGAGGCCCGCCGCCAGCCGTTTAGCGCAGACGCATCCGCCGGCCGCGCCACGCCCCCGCCAGAAGGGTGTTGTCGGAGCGGGGCGGGCAGCCCTGGGGCAGCCCCTCTCCCCCGCTCCAAGGAGCGGCAGGGGCACATGTTACGCTTTTGAATAATGTATCGCACCGCGTCGCACCGCGTGGAGGGAGGGCGGGGGGCGCGGCGCCGCGCTGGAGTTTGCAGCCCCACCGCGGAAACTGACTTTCAAAAAACCGAGTTTAAATGAGCCAACAGCCGGTGGCGGTGGCGACACCTCGCCGCGACGCACCTCCGCCGTCACGTCGCCGCGCTGGGCGCCGCCATGGCGCGGTCGACCGGAAAAGGCCTTCTCTCTCGCGCACTCTCGCGGAGCGCCCCATGAGTGTGACAGAGGCGCAAAAATGCTCGGAATAACCAGCGTATGACCACGCGGTCGGAATGAACCTCTGGGAAGGTGGGAGTGGTGGCAGAGTGGGGCAGTGGGGCGGCGGGCGGGCGAGGCGCAGCGACAGTTTGCGCCGCTGTTGTGGCTGTTGCCGGCAAATGGGTCGCTCTGTGTGCAGCCAACAGCAGTAGCGACACAGTCATCAGTCAGCCAAGACTCCAACCCCTTCCCCTCTCCCCCGCGCCCCCGCGCCGCCGCGCTGCGAGCGACAAGAACCAACCCCGGCCAGCCAGCCCACTTTGCCTGCTGTGCCCGGCCCCACTGCCCCACGGCCCTGCTGCCCGCCCCGCAAACACACAGGGGCACGGCAAGGTTGCCGGCATGTGCCCGCGGTGCCGATCCCACGCCGTTTGCTCTGCCTCTCTCGCACCCGTGCGGAAAGCAGCATGAGTGCGAGAGAGAAGGCGTGACGAGAGGAGCGCACAGTGGGCCAGAAGACCGGCGGAGCGGCCAAAATTCTAGACGCGTTTTGAGCTCCAGAGTCGCTAAATGGAACTCGAACCGAACGTGTGACCCCACCAATGGATAGCTCTCCGAACGAGGAATCCATTGGTGGGAGTCACACGTTCGGTTCGAGTCCCATTTAGCGACTCTGGAGCTCAAAACGCGTCTAGAATTTAGGCCGCTCCACCGGTCTTCTGGCCCACTGTGGAGCGTTCGGGATCGCTCTGCCCGCGAAGATGCTAGTCTTGGAGGAGGCCGGAGCGCCCGCCGACCATCGGGCGGGCCAGCCCGCACGGCGGCGGCGCGCTCGGGTTGCCTACCCTCGGCACCGCAGGCTGACGAGGCCGACCGTCCGGCGCTGCCGGGGACGCCGGGACGCCGCCGTCATCATCAAGTGCGCCGTGCCGTCAAACATTAAAGGGCGGTGCGTCAAAGAGCGGGCCGGGCGGTGTGGGTGCGGCCCACAGTGTGGGTGCAGGTAGAAGCGCCGGACCGGAACGCACTCGCAAAAGAGCTTTTTACTTTTTAAATGAAAGAGAGCGAGACAGAGAAAGAAAAAAAATAGAAAGGAGTGGAGAGGGTCGTATGAGGACACGCACGCAGTGGCGCCGTAACGCGTTGGTAATGGCCGCCGCGGGAGTGTCCGCCGTTATTTAAAATAAAAAAAAGGAAAAAGAAAAAAGGCAAAAGGAACAGGAAGGAAGGTGTCCCTTTTGCAACGGGCTGTTTGGAGCGGCGCTGCACGGCGCGGGAGAGCCTCTTTTAAATCGAATCCTCGAACGACGTTTCGAGAAATCGCTGTAATTATTTATCTCTACAGGCGAAATGAGGTTACCGCGAAAAGTGCCAAAGTCTTGAGGAACAACTAAAAAAAAATTATTTTTTTTTAGAGGGAAAGACGGCGGGTCGCTTCCCCCTCCTCACTTGTAAAGTGGCTCGCCTTTTTCTCCCCGATGGAGACCGAGACCCGAACGAACAGTGTGCCAACCCAGCCGAGCCAACAAAAAGAAGGGCGTGGGAAGGACGCGGAAACAGCAATAGAGTGCCGAAAACGAAGGACTTTCCGCCGGAAGACAGGGGGGAGGGGGGGGGGCGTTTATACGGCCGCTCTGACACGGAGACATGAGGTTTAAGACAAGTGATAAACGTGGCTGGAATTGAGATTATGCGCCCCGCGCTGCACCCTGCCAAGCCTTGGCCAAGCCGAAGGCCAAGCCTGCCAAGGGACTCGGTGACTCGGCCCCGTCGCGTCTCGCGTCCGCGCTCACGTCCCCCAGCCATCCCGCGTAGGCAACGCTGCTCATTGCTGTCGAAAGGGTTGCCCCTCCCAGCCTGACAGGCCCGAACAGGCCACAGTGGGCCAGAAGACCGGCGGAGGCGGCCAAAACTCCAGATGCGTTTTGAGCTCCAGAGTCGCTAAATGGGACCCGAACAAACCGTGTGACCCCACCAATGGATTGCTCTCCGAACGAGGAATCCATTGGTGGGGTCACACGCTCGGTTCGAGTCCCATTTAGCGACTCTGGAGCTCAAAACGCGTCTAGAATTTTGGCCGCCTCCACCGGTCTTCTGGCCCACTGTGCGGGGTGTCACTTTTTGCCTACTCGCCTTGTGTCACGGCTCGGCCCGCCGTCTCGCAGGCAGTGCCGGCAGTGCCGCCTAACGTGTTTTATTCTTTTATTCCTCTGTCCTTGCTTCCAGTAAGGCCCTGTTGTGCAGGCCGCAAGTCTTACCTGCGCGTAGCGGTCCACCACGCCCTCGCCCAGGTTGAGGTCGGTGCCGGCGGTGCAGTTCTCGCCCAGCAGGTGCTGCGACTCGACGATGCGCAGGAAGCGCGTCACGATGTCCACGTGGCCCTTCTTGGGCATCTCGAAGTCCTCCACCTCCATGACGCTCTCCTGCGTCGCGTCCTCCGCGCCCGGCGTCCTGTCCCTCGCGGCGTCCCTCCCGACGTCCTGCAGGTCCTGCTTGTCCTGGCGGTCCTCGACGCCGTCCTCGACCTCCAGGCGCACCTCGTTGTCGTCGTCGTCGTCGTCGTCCTCCTCGTAGAGGGTGGGGGCGGGGGTGTAATCGTCCTCCCGCACAACAATAAGGTCTTCGTCGCGGTGCTCGAGTCCTTGGCCCTCCCAGGTGCCGCGGTCATCGGCGAGCTTGGCGGCCTCGGCCTCCACGGAGAGCATGGTGGAGGCTTTGTACTCGGCCAGCACGCCCTTGTCGTGGCTGCGGCGCAGTATCTGCACTGTGCGACTCAGGTCCCACGGCCCGATGAGGGATTCGGGGCGCGCGGTCGAGGCCGCAGGGCGCCGAGGGACGCCAGCGCCGTGGCCGTGGCCGCCGCCACCCGCGAGACGGTGGCTGCTCTTGCTGATGGCGTGCTCGATCTCGGCCAGGTTCTCGAACAGCTGTTGCGGCACGGCGGGCTGCGTTTCCTCCGTCACGACGGGGTGCTCCGTCACGTCCTCCTCCTGCTTGACGCTGCGCGTCGTCAACACCCTGGCCCCGGCCACGGCCTCGGACTGCTGCTCCACGTCCCACAGGCTGAGCTCCGCGCCGGGGTGGTGGCCGCGGTGGTGGCGTCGCCCCGCCTTGCCGGCCTTGCCCTCGTGCCGATGGTGGTGTCTCTGCGGCTCGGCCGCCGGCGCTGGCGTGGTGTCCGAGGCCGCGGGCCGGGCGAGCACAGAGTACGGGTTAAGCAGGACCTCCTCGTCGACCTCGGCCTCCTCGCCGCTGCAGGCCACGGCCACGGCCAGCGCGGCCAGCCAGGCGACACGCCAGGCGAGGCGCCACGCGAGACAGGCCTTCATGGCGGAGGCCGTTTGGGCACCATGCCGGTGTTGCGCTGTGCTGGCGGCTGGCGCTACGAGAGCGAGTACGCCGCACACGACGGCAAAGGACTCGCCGGGGACCTTGCGAGGGGCGGCAGGAACTGGCGTACCGCGCGGTGTGCCGGACGCTGGCGCACTGAGCGCCGAGCGGCGTCGCGGCGCTGGGGCAGCACCGCTGGCGGCACGCGGCACGCGGCGCACCGCGGCGCGCAGGGTGGGGTGGGACGTCGCGCCAAGTCCCAGCCCTCCCAGCCACCCGACGGCGCCACGGAGTCTGACGAAGCCAGCCCAAGCCTGCGCCCGGCCCGCAGACTGCAGGGCAGACAGCCCGTGCACTGTAGGTCCTCGCCCACGCTTACTTCTCACATGAGACAAGGGGTAATGGACTCGCAACGGAGCTGGCCGGAATCTCTGCCTTGCGAATTGTAGTTCACTATTTCTCCGACTAAATATGCGATTTATGAGATAGCTCGGGCATTTTCGGAAAGAAGACACCTTAAAGTATGCCCAAAATTCAAAAAAGGTTCAATTTTCCCACCAGGACTCGAACAGGAACAGCTGCACCGTCGCGCTACTCCAATGCGCAGGGCGACGGCCATGGTGCCAGGGGCGACGCAGGGGGGGACGCACCTTCAACTTGCGATTGAAGCTTCCGGATGCCGCAAAAGTGACTGGACATAGTTTGCCTTCGACATATATCAAGGTGCACCACTTGTCTCATGCCCCTCAGAAGCAGCCGGAATGAGTCGAATTGTTGGATAGTTGGAAACAGACCTTTTGCCTATTGCCTGCCCTGGCCCTACTGGATTCGTCAGTGTTATCAGTGTCGTTTCCTTTCTTATGGTCACACAGTTTAGATAAGGCGCATTCCCCCAATGTCTTAGCAAATTGTTATCAGTTCAAAGAATCCAAATCAAAATCAGAGGGAAGGGCGATGTAAATAAAGCATTTATAGTTAAATCATTTATTATATTTTATACAAATTCATACTTAAAATAGCTGAACAGACATTTTCCCATTTTAAAAAGATTCTTGAAATCTGAACTAAAATTAACTTTCAATGTGAGAAAATTTTTCACCACTAGAATTTGAAACGAATGAATACGGCGTAATAGTACAATGGCTATTTCGATTAATTCTTCTTCTTTTTCTTCTTTGGGACGATCTGGGGCGCGATCAGAGTGGGATCGTGCACCAGTTGCGCGCCGGGATTCTGCGCGAGCATTTCCAGCTTCGCTTCCTGGGCCACCTTGACGACGGCGTCCACATGCAGCTCCTGGATCTTGCTGTACAGCGGGCACTTGCTGCGGGCCAAACCGAGAAGAAAAATCCAGTTTAATGCAACTTTTGAGACACGCAGATCGTCAGAGTACTGCACCAGAACAGAGGACGTTATTTATTTCCATCGAGGTAGTCAAGAAGCTCCACCTAAAACTGTCCAATAGTGACTACATCACTGCTCGAAAGAATATCCAATAAACGATAAGAGTACGAATCCATGGTGCTTTTCAGTACCTCTTTTACGGGGGGAAAAATGTAATAAGGATGGAAATAACCACACCGAATGTCAACAGTAATCTCTTTCATATATTTCCAAAAAAAGAAGTGAAACATGGCCAAATTTTAAAAATAATGACTAACAAATACATACACATTAAATAAAACCGTTGCACGATAAAGTTCATTGTAACAGTGCATTAGGTAACAAAGACATCAATTCATCAATTCTTTGCGGGGCGAGTAGCTTTAGCAGGGCGGGCAGCTGTAGCAGGGCGGGCAGCTGTAGCAGGGCGGGCGGCTTCAGCTGGGCGGGTAGCTCCCTCAGGAAGGGTAGCGGCCCCGGCGCGTGCACCTGCAGCAGCGCGAGTGCGCGGGCGAGCAGCATCTGCAGGAGGAGCAGGAGCCGCCAGGCGAGGAGCTGCAAGGCGAGGGCGCGGAGCAGCGGCATGGCGGGGCGCTGCTGCAGGCTGAAGAACCGCAGGGCGGAGAACCGCTGGCCGGACAAGCGCCGGAGCGCGAGCCACTGCTGCAGGGCGAGGGGCTGCAGGGCGGGGGGCTGCAGGCGGGGGCTGCAGGGCGCAGGGCGGGCTCCAGGGCGGGGGCTGCAGGGCGGGGGGCTGCTGCAGGAACAGGACGAGGGCGTGCTGCTCTAGGGACAGCAGCACGAACTGGTGCTACAGGGACAGGACGAGGTGCATCAGGGACAGGAACACGAACTGGTGCTAGAGGGACAGGATGAGGTGCATCAGGGACAGCAACACGAACTGGTGCTAGAGGGACAGGATGAGGTGCATCAGGGACAGCAACACGAACTGGTGCTATAGGGAAGAAAAGACGAGGTGCATCAGGGACAGCAACAGGAGCTGGAAGTGGTGCAATGGGGTCAAGAAGTGGTGCTGCCCAACCAACCACGGGCGCAGCGCGGCGAGCATCAAGAGCCCTAATTGCAGCTTGCACATTCACTAGGCGCTCGTTCAATGCAGCGGCATCCCTCGCCCATCCTAGTATACCAAACGCATCATCGGCGGCGGGTCGAGCCGCCGCGGCTGCAGGACCGGCGACATGGCCGGCGGGTTGTGCGAAGCCTGGGAGGGCATATGCGCCTGGGAGGGCATGCGCCCCGCCCTGCCGGTCCATGTCCTTGGCCTCGGGCAGCACCAGGGTGGGGTCGTGCACCAGCTTGACCGTGGGGTTCTGGGCCAGCACCTCCTGCTTGGCGGCCTCCGCCACCTTGACGACGGCGTCCACGTGGAGGTCGTCGTTGCTGGAAAACAGCGGGCACCTGGAAGAGCAGCGACTAATCAGACAGAGAAGCACGAAAGCACATGAGGGCTGCAGGACATCATTAGCGATTAACTAGGTTCAGTGCGAAAGGGCCAGGTGGTGCCAAGGAAACTCAGAAAGACAACAGACACAACCTCTCACATACCAAGAATAATCTCAATATATTCTCATGAAAAACATACAATGCTTACAAAAGTTAAATTTGCAATTTGTTATAAGCATCAACGAATATAAAAGTATTTCAACACGCAAGATACCTAGAATACAGCAGTACTCCATAAATGATCTTCTACGCATACAAAATAGACTCAAACAACAGAAGTTTGGATCCTCTGGCTTAAAAATAGAAATCTGCCCGTACAAAACAGAGACATGACTAATCAGACCTGAATACTCTTACACAAAAAATTTACTGTAATCATTGGCAAATGTAAAAACTAATCAATCAAGAAATTGAAATTTAGGCCATAAAATCAAGCCAATACTCCTTTTGCTCAACAGGAAAAAAAAAGAAAGTGACTCAACGTTGAAATCATTCAAGAATAAGTTGTAGCTGAGCATTGAATTAGATATTTGAGTATTGGTTGATGAAGTCAAACAAATCAGACAGCTCACCTTTTAAAATCAAACAAGGTCAATTTTGCATAGGTCAGATACACGCACTTGGACTTGCACTAAACAGACAACATATCGTAAGTCATACATAACAAAGAAAATAAGGTAGCCCCTCAGACTATGCGTCAGACTCACCTCCTAAATTTTAATTCTCATGTTCCTAAAATATAACACGAACTAGTACAACTTATGAAATAGCTTAGGAAAAGAATGAGATCAGAACAGAGAAAGGGAAATTTTCCCCAAAGTCAGACCCATTACACATTTAAAAACATTTAACTATATGCCCAATTTCAATGACATTAGCATCACATTTGGCAGGTACATTAGGCACAAAGTTGTTACAAAGCCCACAGTAAACAAACATACTTGTTTAAAAAAACAACTTGACACTTGCAGGTATTACTTCCATGCACACAGGTGTGACATGACGTCAAAAGGCGAGAGTCATCACTGGGGAAAGTGCTGCTGGTTCGCACCAGGTAACGTAGCAGGGTTCACTCTTCCCAAATTCATAATGTTGTCAAAATTGGGCAGCTGCTGCCACGTTGGTGGGTACGGCGCGGGGGGCGCCAGCCGGAAGGGCAGTGGGGGAGATTGCGCGAAGAAGGCTCTGACTTGAGCTGCGTTTGTCACGGTCAGGGGAGCGTTTGGGGCCTGCCACAGAGGTGGCTGCTGGGGAACGTGAACTTGGTAGGGCGCTGCATATGTCGGCTGATATGGAGGACCCGAGTAGGCAGGAGGGACTTGATGTGCTTGCGGTGCGGCCTGGGGAGCCTGTGGAGCTCGCTGAGGGGCGTGCTGAAGGGCTTGCTGGGGAGCCGGCTGGGGAGCAGGCTGTGGAGCAGGCTGTGGAGCAGTCACCGGGGCGGGGCGGACCTGCAGCGCAGTCACAAGGCTGTTCTGAACGGCCCGAGCTATGTCTAGCTCGAGTCTCTCTTCGACCTGGCGACGGACATCTTGCTCGGCTCTCTCTTCGACCTGGCGACGGAAATCTTGATCTCGACGCTCGAGCTCTGCTTGCTCAGTCACTAGACGGAGGCGCACATCCTCGAGTCCCTGGTGGCCGATCTGCTCACCCGGCCCGCGGCGCTCCTCCTGCTGCACGAGCTCGCCGCGCTGGGCGCGCTGGAGGACGTACGCGGGCAGCCTGAGCTCGACGCGCTGGCCGCGCTGGCCGTCCCGGTGAAGCACGCGCTCCTGCTGCGCGAGGCGCGCGGCCTCCTGCTCCACCCGCGCGGCCCGCTGCTGGCGTAACTGCTCGCGCATCCGCAGGGCGCGAATCTGCTGGGCGATGTCGGCGGCCCGGAGCCGCAAACGCCGGCTGCGGTGGGCGTCCTGCTCCACGGCGAGCTGATCGGTCCAACGGCGATGGCGGCGTTGCAACTCCGCGAGGTTGTCCCGGAGCGCTGCGGCGGCGGCGCCGAGGACGGCGGCGTGGCCGTGGCCGTGGCGGGGCACCACCCGGTGCCGGTCCTTGTTCTTGGCCTCGGGCAGCACCAGGGTGGGGTCGTGCACCAGCTTGGCGTTGGGGTTCTGGGCCAGCGCCTCCTGCTTGGCGGCCTCCGCCACCTTGACGACGGCGTCCACGTGGAGGTCGTCGTTGTTGGACCACAGCGGGCACCTGGAAGAGCAGCAACTGGTCAGGCAGGGTGCCACTTTGTAGACCTCGACAGAAGCAGGGCTTCCGATCAAGGTGTGGTAAGATTTTCAAAATTGTGAGCAGAATAAAAGCATCATCATTAGGCGCCAAACAGCAATATCACATGCATATTAAAAGCCTTGCTACGTCCATAGTAGAATGACCCATAACAAGAGATTGATGTCGCAAAACATGGAAGCTATGACACCAATTTTACCACACGAGAATAAAACCCGACAGCTTAGCTCCATCTTATCTTTAAGAGACAGCCGGCAGTAATGCACATGGCAGTAATCAAAAACTCACGCACCTCATGCTTATCTCATGACCTGCACATCGCACACATCAACAACTCACGCAACCCATGCTTATCTTATGACCTTCACACAACCTGGCGAATTTATGATAAAAATGTCACTGGATCAAATGGAACACCTGCTAAGTGTCTACACTAACAGTGCAGTGTCAAAACTCAGAACTTAGAAAACATGGCAAAAGAAAAAAAGATGGAAAGCAAATGAACACTTAAATAAGATGAGAGAAGTTTCTGTTTGGTTGGTTTATTCATTAAATGGCAGTTTGATTTGAGATGTTAAACAATACAAATATATGAACTTGAAAGTGGTTTAGAAAAACGGACAAAGTACAACAGTTTCAATAGTAATAGTAGTCAAAGAAAAGGTTTTGAAAGCTGTACATTAAGAGACAAAAGTAAGAAAAAAATGTTTTGGATTCTAATAAAACAGAACTATCCAGTCAATAATAAATTTTATATTGATATTTTTAAGTAGAAAAGAAAAGAATGAAGTCTGTAGAAGAACTAACTGTAAAAACCGAAATCTCCAAACAAAAGAGGGAAATTCCAACCCCTCTGGATTGGCAAGAAAGTATTCTTGTTGAGAAGTTAACAGCAAAGAACTAAAAATTAACAGGAATGTAGCCAATTTGCGCTTGCATCTCAGCGATTATTGAGAATAAGTCATCTTAGGATCCTAATGTCTGGTCTGAGCACGTTGTGGATAAACAGGAAGCAGTTTGGTTGGATCATGCTTTAAGGTCAAAGTAGGGTCCCTTGATAAGACTTCATTTTTGGCCAGAGCAGCCATTCTTTTAACCTCAGCAACTTCTAAAGCGTGATGGTCCGAGTACAAGGGGCACCTAAAAACCAAACATCATGAGTTACACCCAAAGCAATAAAATACATGCTGTTACCTAGTTTTGTTCAAACAATTAAAAAATTAAAGAATGATGCAAATAAAAAAGGAAGGATGCATGGGCTTGATTGCAGACATGCCTTTCATTTATAAGAACGAGACCCTTCAATCACGTTTACTGGCTACTGCCATCCAAACCAAGAGTGTGTACGTCAGAACTCATGGAACTTCCAACTTCTATGAACTTAATTTTAGCATTAGTGTACAGGAATCGACAAAAAACTAAATAATTAAAAAATCAAAAAACGTTTACTGATAACCACATGCACCACACTAAGCTGAAATAACATGCAACAAAATGCCTAACTGAAGCCTAACTAATACCTAGCTAAAGCAAGCAGCCCATTACATAAGTAGGCAGTAATAGAGATACAGAGCTATACATGTGTTTCCGAACCCAATGTTAACTCTAATACAAAGTGCCAGTGATTTTCTTTTAGATATTAGGGGATATTAGGGGAAAGAGAACATAAAACATTCACATGTTGATACCAACAGTAGAAGTTTACTCACAACTACCCTCCAAGGAAGAATAACTCACCTAATTTGTCTTGATTAAAATTATATTAAATAAACACGCGTCTACATTTGTTAATTAAAAACGAATATTTGTAGTGACAGAAGATAAGTAAAATGTATAATACGGCATGAAGTCAAGAGAGAAAGAAAAATATTGACTCAATTTTCAGTCCTCTAATGCAGACTTTGATTTGAGGTGTATTGAATGGAAATGAAGTGTATTGTTAGACACATGTGAGGAGTGTCTGTGGAACTTTGCAAATCTGATGAGTAAATAATGTTGTCATAAATTGAACCTTCCCTAAAAACAGTGTACTGAAAACACATGGATAGATACAGCTCTTCTACAGCTTGGCACAGGTTGAGTTCACAAAAAGCAAAATGAAAGAGTGGTTTGGTCAAACTTGCGGCAAAAGCAATCATGCATCAAGTTCATCAAGCACAATAAGAAATAAAAAGGAAGCTTGAACAATAACTAACCGTTCAAAATTATCTCCTCCTTGGCCATTAAAATGAGAGTAGTCCTTAACTGGCTGGCGGCATACGTAGCACATTAATGCACCACATGTACAAGTCATTTTATTGCAGCCGTCCTCTTTCACAAACTTCCTACTACATTTCCAACAAGTTCTGAAAAATAAGGTAGAACTGTCAGTCAATCAAGTTTCTAATAACCTAATATAAACATAGACCAAGGAAAGACACCATACCTGACAAGCGCTTCAGTCATTTTGTTTTCTATGTAAGTTCGGATTTCAACCTCGCTCTTCCTTTCAACCTCTTCGCAACGAAGGGGGACATGACTTTCTTCCTTGCACAGCCTGAAAGAAATTTTGAATTAACAATAATGTTGAGATGTGTGAGCAGTCCTAAAGCAATATATGATGACAATATTCATTCCATGTTTAAAGACTAAAAAGGAAAAAATCTTGTATCCTGACAGACAGAAGGGTCAATAGAGCATTGAAGCATTATCATGCAGTACAAACCTGCAGGATTCTTTCATACAATCAGGATTGAGACAACGAAATACTTTATCATCCTTGGGAGGAATATTACAAAAATCACAGAAAGGACATTGCACAAGATCTTCAATGCCAGCTGCTTTGACTTCCTCCGCCTGCTTTCTCTGGACCAAGCGGGAAAATATGGTGGGTTTCAGAATTTCCTACAACAGATAAATAAATAAGAAACAATGATTATTTTACAGAAAACAACAAAACGGGACTGGTACAAAATGTGCAACCAGGTCACACACCTGTAACATTTGCAGGCCAAATTCTGCAGAGCAATCTTCCAAACAGGGGAATGTTGTTTGTCCATCACCAATTCTCTGCTCAGAGCTCCTGTGAAAAAAAAAAAATATATATATATATATATATATTTATGATGACATAATGGTACTTTTAACAACTGAATTGCAAAGTCTATTGGAGACATACTTTTGCAAGCAGGATACGCAAAATAAGTGGCCTTCAGAACAGTTGCGAACATCTTCCAGCAAGACCTCATCATCATAGCAGCACTGGCACTGCAACAGCTCTCCTTTGGCTTTAGCCTGAAAGGAAGGAACATTACAAATGTTTCATTATAAGTGAAAGTTAATTTCATTCCTTTAACAACAGAATTACTTTCTGGTGTTGTAATAAGACATACCTCATTGAATGCATCCTCACGTCTCTTCTTTTTAGCTTCCAAAAACTCAACTATTTTCTGCTCGTTTTCAATGAAAGCAATCTGGATACAAAATAGCAGTAACACAGTGCATTATCATTGATCAGTTATGGTTGACACAAGGCTTACTGATAAAGACATACCTCTTGTAGGAAAGGAACATCAACACCTTTGCCTCCTGATTTCTTGATATCATATTCCACCTGAGTGCGCCGACCTTTAAGTGTTGCTCCATTCCAGTTATCTAAGGATCTACATGTCAAAGTCAAGTTGTAGCCATGACGGGAGAAGGTTGATGCAATATCAGCAACCCTTAATTTACGGTACCTGATGAAAAAAATATTTTTACATTACAATTGATTCTAAGACTTACATAAAAGACAACACAGAAAGGCACCTGGACATACTTATTCCTCAGAAACATGGAAGCCTGGTTTGGATTAGTGCATTTCCTCTTCTCATCAGCAAAGTATGTGAAAGGATCAGGAAATATTTCCAGAAAATTGGGTATGCTGAATTCCTCAGTGTACCTCTTTTGTAATGCTAGCTGCTCTTGGCGCCACTCCCAATCCTTCCTTGATGGGTAATCCCTGTTCTCAAGAAGATTGGCTACACAGACCTTCAGATCTTCCTCTTTGTCATAAAGAGATCGTGCCTTTTCTTCTAAGTATGATGGATCGGCATCCGGAAAAATCTGTAGGAAAATTTCGTGCTGATCCTGCCAGGGTTCTCTAGGTGGTGGTGCAGGAGCAGGAGTTTCAGTTACAGCACTTGTGCTTGCACTGCTATTTTCCAAGCTCATTCTCCTCTTAGCTTCACTCAAACTGGACACTGTTGTCAAAGGCTTATTTACAAAACCTGAGGCCTTTGAGGTAGATGCTATGGCACGGTTGTCTTCAGTAGAGAGATTGGAAGAGGAAGCTTTGGCAACTTGAGCTGATGATGATGGTTCAGATTTAACAACTGGAACTGATGATGAAGGTTCCGATTTCACAACTGTAGCAGTAGAAGTCGATGGTTTACTGAACTCATGAAATTCTGAATCTCCATTAAATAAGCCATTTGCAGAACCAGCTGCAGCACTTGCATTCCTAAATGACTTGTTACCTGAAACACAATCATAAAAACCAAATAAGCATTCATTAAGATAATTATTACTCAATTAATGAAAATTTAAATTTGTGAAACAAGTTGGAATAACTTACTCTGAAACACTCTAGGGTAATCATCATTAGAGAGCATAGACTCAATCAATGCACCTAATGCATCATCATTCTCAATTTGTTCCGCTCTATCCCACAAATACTGAGGGTCTGCTTCAGGAAACATTTCACTTAAAGTTTTAACATGGGCAGCAGCTTTTGGTTCTTTCAAAGCTGTTTTCCTCTCTGGATTAGGGGCAGCTATGCTTCCTACGTTATCAACATTCATTGTCTGATCCAAAAAGCCCTGAGCACTGTTCAATGCTAGACTACGTCCTGGACTTGTTTTCATCTTAGGACTGATGGGACTACTTTTCAGTTTCTTGGCAGAAATAGTTGATTCTGAAGGCTCTAAAACATCAGATTCCCTCTTTGAAGGGGAGGAAACAGACACATTACTTGCAGAAAGATCTTCACAACTATTCTTCTTCAAAAAATTTGGCCTAAGTGTTTCTATAGCTTCAGAATTATTCAACAAGTCCGGAGAAGTTCGGCTTGATGTAGGAACACTTTGTTTAACTTTAGGAATGGCACCTGTACTCGAACCATTGCTTAGGCTTGTAGGTACAATATTACTTGCAGTTTTTTCCTCTTTGCCTTCTTCAGGTGATGAAGGATATGAGACAAGAGGAGAATAAGGTTCATTAAAGGCTTGACATAAACCTGGTGATAAAGTCCATGTTTCCACGCTTGAGTCAATAGCGAGAGCTTTGCTAGGCCCAGCTGCAGCTGGACCCTTTAAGTGAGAAGGTACTGACGATGCAGTTGCATTGCTATCAAGAGCCCCGACAGAGCTTGAAGGGAGTGATGATGGTCCATCTGCTCCTGTCGATGTTGATGATCCAGATGCGCCATTTAGTGATGACGGTCCAGCTGCTCCATTCGGTTCAACAACATCAACTATCTGCACTTCTGGAGAGTCACTGACGGGTGGTGCCAAACCGAGATCTATTAGAAAACTTGTGACAACTTTGTTGACTAGTTCTTTGCCTTGACATTTAGAAGAATTATAACTTTCCAGCCTCTCAAAGACTGCGTTGGCGTTCACAAATCCAGTAGCACCATGACTGTCTAGTGCACTCATTACAAGAGATACATCCTCCACTAAAGTGTCCATTCTTCCTGTGAATAAAGAAAAACAGACAAAAGTTAAATTAAGAAGGCAGTTTCAGCAGAGTTAACAGTTAATCATGTATTATTCAGACATGCACAAAATAAAGTTATTAGAGGCCGAAACGACATTTCAAACATCAAGCGTAGTCATAGACAGATAAACAGGCGACCCTACAGAAACGTGACACACTACCAAAGTCTATCGGCTCGCGAAGACCAAAGAGACAGCTTAGGTTAAGTTCTTGCACATCCTTATCCTCCCGGCACAAGGTAGTATGATATCCAGCTCAAACGAGACAGAACAAAGAAAGAAAATCTATCGAAGCAATGGAAACAACGAGCCATTATGTCACGGTAAATAGAAGCCCACAACACGGAAAGATGGACCCTAACCCAAACTTAACACTTTTCGTCGGCATTAAATTACTGACACAACGAGAATACCGGTGGGACAGGACGATTCGATGGAGAGAAAATGTTGAAATGAAAATGGGATAAAATTGTGGCACGGACAATAAATAATTGGGCTAGGCCACTGCATGTACAGAGAGGCGCCAAATGGGGCTTTAGGGCTCTAGCCGGTAGACAGCGATTCCGTCGAAAACAAGAGACAAAACAACTAAAAACCGTCATGATTGTGCAGCAAACACAAAAATTGCCAAGAAATTGACATGACTGACTAAAAAACAATACCTGATAGCAACGTACGTATTCCCCGTGACACACATGAAACTTTTAACCACACACAACGTAACAGCAGGCACGAGCACGATCCTACAAAACCGACAACCGACCCAGCAGGTGGTGTGGAGTGGTGGGGTGGTGGGTGTGGGGGCTTAGCAACCAAAGTGGTGGGGGGACTCTGGAGGCCGCTGGAGTGGACGAGTAGCCAGTCGGCAACGTCACATGCGCAGACCCTTTTTCAAACCGTTCATTATCAACAACTTTAGCTTATTTCGAGGGCTGGTCGTACACCACATTCTACTTCGAACAACAAACACTTTGTCGATCCTATCCGAAAAACACTGTTCCAAAATCATTCGTGGTTGACTTCGTACTTTCACGTTGGTAGATGAATCAAACTCGCTTCCCCCACTCCTTCTGATTCCGAGCCCTTCCCTAGTCGCCCTAGGAGAGCACCCAGAAAGTTCCCTCGTATTTCCGCAAGAATTAGAGTCCTGCAGGCCCCTTGAACCTGAGTCTCCCGGTTAGCTGTAAAGTGTATAGATTTGCGCTTGCCTTGCTCGCTGCCTCCTGCCTCCTCCTCCTACATTCGTTCGCAGATAATAATCTCTGAGTCAGGAGAGAAGTCTCGCCCAGACTGGGCTTTGCGCGGCGAGGGTGAACAGCTCTTGATTGACAGCCAAAATTATGACATGGATACATTAGGAGAAATTGGCCAGCTCGGCAGGATTCGCAACAAAAAAAATTTTACTAACTCCTGCTTTAAGTTTTGTTATGATTCCTGCGACTAATTGCCTCCAGACCAGAATTAGACAGCGAGAGCGGGTTCACCGAACCAAAGTTTGAGGCGCCACGGGTTATCACGCTAATCCCAACGTTATGACGACGGTGAGCAGCAAGGCGGGGAGTATCGGCACGGCGTGGCAGGGGGTAGTTACCCGGCCTGGAGTACCTGCTGGTGCCGCTCGGCTGCCGCGGTTTCAGCCCTCGCCCCGTTCCTCCTGCTGGCGCTGCTGGCGCTGCTGGCGCAGGGTGGTGCGCTGAGGCGGTGCGCAGGAGGGTGGTCGCTGTCGGGCTGTCGGGCGCCACATCGGGCGCCACGCCGGGGGTGGCTTGGGAAGGGTGGGTAGGGGCTGGTGGGAGTGGGGGGCATTGGACCGTTCGGCCGCACACAAACACACAAATGTTTAGTTTGAGCTCCGCGGAGCCCGGCGGTGGTTCGGCCGTGCCGCCGCGAGGCCCTCCGCCCTCCTGGGCTCTGGGCTCCCAACCACCCACCGCCAGGGCCTTGCAGGCCGCGGCCTCGGAACCGGACTGTACCGGACCGGGCCTCGGCCGGGCCCTGCGTCGCGCCGTCGTGCCGCACGGCCTCCACGAGCTTGGCCCTCGCCCCAGCGGCCCCAGCCCTTCGCCCCGGCCTCGGACACCGCGGGGATGGCCTCGGCGGCCTGGGTTATTTCCCGACGAGGCCGTCGACCCCCTAGCCGCCCCTGTCCTTCTCGCCTCGGCCACCTCGGCCGCGCGGCGAGGTTCAGGTCGACCGGGCTTCGGACACGGCCTCACCGAAGACTTGACGCCGCGACTGCCGGCAGCGTTCCGCGGCCCCGTCGACTCCGGGCCGTGACGTCATCGCGGAGGTGAGCCCCCCAAACTGGAGGCCCTGCAGTGCCTCGCCATGGTGGACATGTCGCCGGAGAGACCTAACATCAGCCTAACAAGTTGCTCAGTGTGGAGAAACAGCGCGGGTGTTGGCGCAATTTAACTCAAGCGCACGTGCTACCTTGCCCAAGCGCGACCGTTGTCGTCAAAATGTCTTCGAGGAGGAGAGGGTTTCGTTGGGGAAATGGTCGCCTAGCTGCACTTAGCTGCACCGTGCCATCGGACTCGGCCCGTCGGCAGCCTGCCCCGCGGCGAGGTCTGCGGCAGCCCCAAGTGCACCCTGCCGTGGCGGCGCCATCGGTTCCATCAGTGCATCGCCGCGCTCCGTCGTGCTCCCTGGTTCATGGCGGGACGTCGCCACTACGGCCGCCGCCGTGCGCGCCGTGCCCGCCCCGGACAAAGGAGTGGAATCGCTGGCGGGGCGGGCCGGGGGCGGGTCGGGGTGAATCGGGGGCGGACCGGGGGCGGGCCGGGGGCGGGCCGGGGGCGGGCGGACGAAGGGGTGGGCTTGCTGGAGGAGAGAGGCCGCCCCCATCGACCGTGATGCTTCACCCCCACCCCCACCTGCCCCACTCCGCCACAACTCCATCTCTCAGAGGCCCCAGGCTCCCCTTCCTGGTGATGTAAGCCGCTGCCAGCGACGCGGCACGACTCGTAACGCCAAATCAACAGGTCGAGGAGGGACACTAACAAGAGCGCCGTCTTGGGGTCTTCGGGGAGACTGTGAGGAGGCCAAGGGGGCCTGACGAGCCTAGGGTTTCAAATGTCGGGGAGTGGTTCATCGGGGGCTTGGCTGGCCCTTCTAACGCCCTTTACGGTGTACCAGTGTGCGGCTTACTCCAACAACCCCCAGCTCAGCCAATCCAGCCGGCGTGATTGGTCGTGTCACCTCTCTGTGCACAGCTGAGCGCGCTAAAGAAACAGCCTTCGACTCAACTGGGCCCAGCCCGCCCAGCCAGCTGGGGGAGAGGGGTGGGAGGCGGGAGGGTGGCGCGAGCAGCGCAGGCCGACCCCCAGCAGGCCCCAGCTGTCGGCAAATTGACTGGAAGCACCCTGCACGGATGTGACATCTCAATCCCATAAGCCGCATCGTGGTGCGCCAGGCCGTGGCTGCGGGGCCGCGGGGGGCGTGGGGGCCGTCGGGCCGTGGGGCCGTGGCCTCGGCCGAGCCTGTGGGCAGCCACTCAAGGGGAAGCCCCGCGGAGGGCGCAGTGTATGGTGCACGCTTAGCGGGGTCAGGGGGTTGCTACAAGTGGGCCATCTCATCTCTGGCTGCTGTCCTCGCTGCTGTCTCTGTCCTTGCTGCTGGTGCGGCGAGTTGTCGTCGCCGACTTCCCTTCCCGATCCTCGCGGTGCCCTGAAGGGGCGGCGCGGCCTCGTGCGAGAACACGAGAACGACACAAAGGACTAGGCGAGGCACTGTGATGCTGATGTGGAGAACAAGTGCAACGTCCGAGGACAAGAAGCAGTGTTGCCGGACTTATTAGAGAGGAACCCCCAGTCCCCAGGAAGCCTCGCTCTCCGACCACCCCGACAAAGCGGACAACCCGTCGTTCTGTTTCTTTCCCACCTAGGCGGGACGCCCCGTGAGTGCGAGAGAGACAGGGCGACGAAAGCGACTCTCGGAATCAGGCAAAACAGGCGGGAAGTCGTAAACACGGCGGAACGGGAACGGGCGGGAGACGCCGGCAGGGTACAGTCCGCTGGAGAAGTTTCGGGGGAGTAGAGCGGCGCGGCGGTTCGATATTCGTTTGGATATTCCATCGCGTCTGACACGACCTCGCACTCAACGCCACACCCTTTCCTGATAAATGGTCGAGGCTGAAGCGGGCGGAAGGGGCGGGGCGGGGCAGGGCAGGGCTTTAGACAGGCGGTCGGTGACGTCATGGTGCACCACCGATTGGAGCTCCGGAGGTAAAGGCCACTACTGCGGCCACTGGCGCGCGGGGGTTCGTGGAAGTGGAAGGGACTTGATGGAATATACTTCGCATCCGCCATGCGTGCTGGAAGACAGCGCTAGAAGACAGTGCTAGAAGACAGCGCTAGAAGACAGTGCTCTGGAAGCAGCTTTCGCGATGTTCATGTTGATGCGCGCATCTCTCCAGTTGCAAAATGTTCCACCGCGTGAATCCCAGTCTGATCGCTCGAATCGCCACAGCACCGTCACGACCGTCACCGTGGCGTCACGGTCGCCGTCACGCGTTTCATTGCAGTACCCCTCTCGAAGGGCTCAGACGGGCTGGATTGGCTGGAGGGGTGGAAGGAAGGATGGCAGGAGAGATTGAATGCCGTTTGCGCGGCGCGCGGCACAGCGGCGCTCGGCGGCGTCCTGCCCTTCCTGCCCTCACCCCCTCACCCCCACCCCCAGCAGCGCAGCGGCGGCCCTTTCCAACTCGGCCGTCCCCGTCCCCCGTGAGCACGCCCAGGCCCTGCCCAGGCCCTGCCCAGGCCGTCGGCACTCGCTCGCCCCCGACGCCCGACCCCACCGTCGACCCCACCGCGGCCGTCCTGCCGTGGCCTGGTGGCGACCGAGTGGTCGGTCGGCGAGGCAGCGCAAGTCGCGCACAGGCAAGCATGCAGCAAAAGCTGGGCGGGGCGGGCACAAGCCCCTCAGCTGATTTCATTGATTTTCACCAAAAGGGCAGCCGCAGCGCTCGGGGGGTGGAAGGGGACGGCCAGCCCCTGATTTTCGAAATGCCCGCGGCGGTGCGGTGCGGGGGCGGTGGCTGCGTCATCCTCGGGCCTCGGGTTGACCTTGGCGTCGTCAGCCTTGCCGTCAGCCCGACCAGCCCATCCAAATGAGAAAGCATTTTTCATTTTTCCCTCTTCTCCCGTTTTTTTTGTGAGGAGTCGTGAAGGGTGGAGGTCACGACGTCACGTCAAGAGAAATTCTAGCCGACATGCCGGTGGGGCGGTTCGGGGCGGGTGGGTGGGACGTGGGACGGGCCCCGTGTGGGAGCGGAGGGAGGGAGGATTCAGGTGGGCTATACAGGAGCCACTCTCGGTCTCGGAGTCTAGGGTCGGGGGGCGGTAGCGGGCGGCAGTACTTCACCGCAAGCTCGTCGATCCACGTCCTTGCCCTTTGTGAAGTGAGACATCGACGTGGGGATGAGACGACGTCGACGGCGTGCCCGGGGCCCATCCGGGGCACGGCACGGCACGGCACGGCATGGCACGGCACGACACGGCACGGCCCCACTCCACCGCTCAAGTGAGGAAGGGGGTTGGGGCTGCCTGCATCCGCCTGGCAGCCGGCAGCCCACCGCACCGCCGAGTGGAATGGGCTGCCTACCCCGCGGGCGGCACCGCCCCGCGGCTGTCTCGTAAACGCGGCGAAATTCACGGGCGTTACTAGGCACAAAGTGACTTGTTTTCAAAATTTTAATTTATTTCCATTTATTGTCAGCCCCGGCATGATTTGCCCCCAGATTTCGGCTCGAAGTGGGTGGCGGCGGTGGTGACAGTGTGGGGGCAGGAACATGCGTAATTCATAAAGCATTCTCTGGAGTCCCTGGCCCCGCATGCATGGATTCCGCATTTGCGCGGGAATGATGGCCGGTCGCGTTAGGCGCGCTGCAGGCAGAGGCAGGGCTGCAGTGTCGCAGCCGCCGTCTGCTCGAACACGGCCATGGACATGAACCGTTCGCGCCAGTACATGTACATACCCACTGACATGCGGAGTGATAGCCCCCCCCCCCCTTTTCCTCTTTCGGGTTCCCGAAGCGAGCACTCGTGCCGCTCCGAGCCCCCCCGAGGGCCCCCGACCCGCAGCCGGCCGGCGAAGGGCGAAACCGGGGTCCACGACCGGCCGGCACGGCGACCGGGGCCGCTGGGGATACTCGCGGCTGCAGCCGTCAACCGGCCTCTTGGTCTAGGGGTATGATTCTCGCTTTGGGTGCGAGAGGTCCCGGGTTCAAATCCCGGAGGGGCCCGCCCGCTTTTGCCTGCCGCCTCGGCGGGTGTCCTTCCCCTTCTGGCCCACTTCGATTACACGGCGGGGCTCTGCTCGCGCTCGGCTCGCGCTCGGACCGCTGCACTTGGACTCTCTCGGCCTAATCTCGGGGGAAGGCCTGGCCGCCCTGCCTCTGGCTGGCCTGGGTAATCACGCCTGTAATCGGCAAACGCACCTCGCCTCGCGGGCCAGGCCTGCGGTGTTGTCGGCCATGAAGCGGATCAAAACGCCCTCGCCGTGTCGAGGCGTGGCGCGGCGTGGCGTGGCAACGCCAGTGTAGTCAGCGGACACAGAAAGTGAATCATTGTTCCCGCCACCGTTATTATTCTTTGCACTTGCGCTAAGTTGGGGGGGGGGGGGTTAGTCAGCGGCCTCGGCCTGCGTGCTTCGTGGACATTAGTCACGGTGCGGCACGAGAAAGATGAAGAGATTTGTTTGCATGACCTTATTCCCGCGATGTTCGCGCCGTCGGGCCGAACGGCAGCCGGGACGAGCCGACGGGACGGACCGGGACGGCGGCGCCACACCAGAAGCACCAGAGGCCGCGGCGGCCGCGGCAGCATGGGGGCAGGCGGGCCTCTCGCACCCATCCCCACCCTTTGAACTTTGAGTCCGGCCCAGACGGGGCACTGGCCCTGGCTGTGGCGTCCGCACGCGCACGCGGCGACGCGGCGCACGCACATTCACGCCGCTTCCGCTTCTCGCACCTCCGCGGGGGAAGTGCCCTGGGTGCCCAGGCCGTGGCGCCGCGCTTAGAGCCGCGCTCGCTTGACTCGTTTGACGCCCCGCAGCCAATTAGAGCCCAGCATGAATGAGCGCCACAGGTTGGGCTGCCAGCCCTGTCTGCCCTGCCGCGAGGCATGGCGCAACGGCCTGCACGTTTTCGGGCTCACCGCGACGCGGTCGACGCGGTCCTCGGGCAGGCAGACGCGGCACCAGCCGGCACGCAGCACACATGCCGGCATGCCCCCCCCCCCTCCTCCCCTTGCCGGGGGGCTCTTCTTGTTCGGCGGCGGGCGCGGCGGGGCGCGGCGGGGCGCGGCGGGGCGTGCGTGGCGGTAGTGGGACATGCCCCAAGACAGCGAAGGCGAAGGCAGTAACGGCAGTAACGCCGCTAACGCGTGCACGCTGAACGCTGCGGAAAGGCACCCAAAGGCCGTACCGGCAGTGCCGCTTCGCGCTTCGCGCTCCGCGCCGCCGTATCGTCGTATCGTGACGCGGCTGCAGTTCGCCCGCCGTTCGCCCCGCCGACACGAGTCGAGCCGAGCGGAGCGCCGAGTCGGACGAGCGCAGCCGGGCCAGCCAGGTCGAGCCGAGCCGAGTCGCAGGCCAGTCCTAGAGTGCCTGAGCTTCGCATAGCTTCGCATGGCTGGCTAGTCCACGCGCCACGCCGCGCTACGCCGTCTCGAGCGTCTCGAGCCAGCTCAGCTCGCACGACCCAGAGCTCGCCGACGTCGTCGACCCGGGTCCAGGACGCCGCCGGCGAGTGCGTGAATGAGTGCGCCGGCCTGAGGGCACCTGAAGGCCTGCCCACCGCAGGGCACGAGGACCGCACCCAGTTTGTTTGTGTTGTGCTCCGGCTTCGGCGCGGCGTCGGCATCGCGGAGCAGTGCGCGGACTTGGTCCCCTGGACTTCCCTATAAAGTGAGTACTTGTTGCCCGGCAGCCGGCAGCGGACTTGTCACTTTGTCACTCGGCGCAGGGCAAGGCCGGGCAAGGCCAAGCAAGGCACCAGTGCAGGCAGCAGGCGGGGCGGTCGCCCACTGTCGCCAGTCAGTGATAGCGCCTTCCGTCGTGCCGTCACGACCGTCGCCACTTTGATCGGCGAGTTTCCATTCTGCGTGCGTTGCTTGCGTCGACGCCGCCACCTGCCAGCACCTGCCCGGCGTGCCCAAGAAGGCCCTCCACCACCTCCTTGCAGCCTCCTTCAAACTTGGAGACCATTTGGCGCTGGGAGCGGCGACGTCTCCGCGTCGAGGACGTCAAGTACTAAATTGAATCTTCTGGCCGGGCGGCTAGTGTTTGGCGTGTTGGCGGCGGGCGCAGTGGGGCGTTGCAAGACGGTTCAATCTGGCGCCGCCGTGGCGTGGCTCGCCGCCCCGCGGTGCCGCGTGCCCATGGCTGCCCATGGCGTGCCGCTTGCCGTAACGAGGCAGTAACCCGCCGACGCCTGCCGCGCTGCCGCGCCCGCTTCAGTTCACTCGACCGGCTTTGGCGGAATAACGCGCTCTGAGCGCGCGGCCGGGCCGAGGATCGAGTCTCACCGCCGGCGGTCGTGTATCGGAAAGTTTTTCGAGTGTGTTCGGGGGGCTCGGGGGCGGTGTGTACGCGCTGCCATTACTGAAGGCTTACCAGTGTCACACTGTCACCCGCCGATAAGCCCGTTTGATTATCGCCCGGGCTGCCAGAGTTGCATACTTCAGCCCCCCCCCCTCCTAAGTCAGCAGGGAACTCCCACGCCCACCGGCTGCCAAAATGTTGTTCGGCCGCGACAAGATGGCCGCGGCCCGGTGGGTCGTTATCGCTATCGGCTGCAGTGTGGTGGCTGACAGTGGCGGGGCACCTACCGGCCACCTACCGGGCAGGCGCCGCGTACCCATCATGACGGGTAGCAGCAGCCCGTTAGAAGCGCGCAGTGCTGGGACCGTCGAGCTGGCTCGCTGAATCCGCTTCCCTGCCGAGCTTTGCCAGGCATTGCAGGGCACACCGCCCCCCGAAGCCCCAAGCCCATTGGCCCATTGGCCGGTTTGTTTGCTGATGACCCCGATAATTGCGAAAGAACGCGACCGGCACATTGCGAAGGTCTTGGCTTTCGAGGGGCTGGCGATACCGCGATCCGCAATCCGCGATCCCGCGGAGGCGCTGCCATTGTCAGTCGTGTTGTGCTTCTGTTATTTGCCTTTTCGGCTTCTCTGGGAATGCAGTGCACACTGGCGAGGTGGAGTCATATCCGGGACGGCGACAGTGGGTCTCTGTGTATCGCCGGCGCTGCGCTGCCTCGCCCGGTTCATATTGCCCCGTCCCGTCCCGCGCGCGTTACTTTATGCTACTTTCGACCCCAATCCACGCCGCGCAGGCCGCGCAGGCCGCGCACCGCACAGCGCCTTCATTTCGGCGCGGCCACGCTGGCGCCTTGACCCAGTGGCCCGGCGGTGGCACCGCGTGGCGCCCCCCAAGGCCAAGGCCGCCTCCAGGCTCCAGGCTGCAGGGCGGGGCGAAGGGAGAGGGGACTTCTCCAGGAAGCATGTCCTGGAGAATGCCTGGAGCACGCCCGCAGCCTGGACTGCTGGAGATAGCGCCGCGATGGCATTCGAGGCCTCCAAGGACGCCATGTCGTACACAGCTCTGCGCGCGCCGCCTAGTTTCTCAACTTTTTGCCGCCTCCGCATTCTTTCTTCTTGACAGCCATATTGATTCCGTCTCACAATTTAATTCCCCCCCCCTCTTTTTACCGATTCTTTTCCAATTCGCGCGGGGCCTGTCGTCGTCGGCAGCCCGTCGGACCGGAACCGGCCCCGCCGTGCGGCTCAACAAACCAACTCTGGCGGCAATTTTTTTTTTCGTGCCTCGATGACATGTTTGAGGAAAAGTTCGGGCGGGGTGTGAGGCCAGATAAAGTGTGAGTGTCGTCTCCATGACTATCGGCCCGCTTTTCCGAAGTGTTTGCATCCGTCTGGAGAGCGCGGCGGCCTCGATCCTCGATGGCGGCGCACAGTGGGCCAGAAGACCGGTGGAGGCGGCCGAAACTCTAGACGCGTTACGAGCTCCAGAGTCGCTAAATGGGATTCGAATCGAACGTGTGACCCCACCAACGGATTGCTCTCCGAACGAGGAATCCATTGGTGGGGTCACACGTTCGGTTCAAGTCCTCTTCAGCTTCTCTGGAGCTCAAAACGCGTCTTGAGTTTTGGCCGCCTCCACCGGTCCTCTGGCCCACTGTGCGGCGGGGGCCTCGGCCGCCTCGGCCATGACGGTCGTCGCGGAGCTCCGGGCTTATCAATCGGGTATCGAGTGTTTGCCCATCTCCGGGCACAGGCCAGTGAGTGGGGTTGTGTTTGCGGCGGACTATCTGTGGCCGTCTGGAGGCAGCGCCGCGGCGTCGACGGGAAGGTCCCCGCCAACTGGGTCGAGTGCCTTCGCCGACAAGCGCGCCGCCACGACGGCCAGGGACTCGCCCACTACCAGTACCGTCCTGGTGGCGGCGGCCTTGGCGACAAGGTGCAGAGCAGACCGGGCGTCGTTCGTTCGGGTACTCGAGGTGCCCGTCGTCGGCGCCCCGCCCCACAGCGCCACGCCCCGCCACGCCCGCAAACAGGCAGATTAACGTGTCGGCAACATTGTATTTCGCATCCACTTTGGCTGCTAGATAGCTGTCGTAAATGGCGGCGGCACGTGTGGCGGTGTCGCGGCGGCGCGGCGGCGTCGCGTTGCGCCACGCGGCCGGCCAGAGCCTCTAACGTGTCCGCCGTCCGGCGCGATGCCGTCGCCAGGAATGTTGAGAAAAAGAAGCCGCGGGAACCCTGCCCGAGTCCTGGTGGCGGCGAGGCTCGGCGTCGCGTCGTTCCCTCGCGGTTTGGTGCGCCGTGCTTTGGGGATTAGCGTTATCGACTGGCGGCGATATGCCGGGGATTAGTGAGCCCGGCGCCCACGTGCCACCTGCCTCAACCTGCCTCGTGGCTCCCGAATCTGAGAAGTGAGTTAGAGAGACCACTCGTCTGGGCCTCTCTGAGGGAGCGCGTAGAGAGGCTCCACTCTTCTCGGCCTCTCCACCGCGGCGTCGCCATCCCGGTCCTGTTTGCAGTGCATCCTCCTCTCTTCTGCGAGGGCTTGCGTGACGGCGCGGTGCAGTGCGGGGGCCGGGGGCCAGCTGTGAGTCACTGCGGTGAAAGGAAAAGCTTCGCCACGTCCCCGTGCCCTGCCCTGCCCGCGATCAACAACAGCGGAGTCCCACGCGCTCTTTGGCTCGCGACGAGGGCGGCTGTGTCGGGCCGCCAAACGCGCCAAAGGGCTAAGTCAAGGTGCGCCACTGTTTGGCGGCGCGCGGCGCGGGGGAACGAACTGAACTGAACCACCCGACGAGACGGCGGGGCGGGGCGACCACGAGGCAAGCGAGTGTTGACCCAACTTTTCCAGCTGTCTCGAGAACCGTGACCATTAGCAACGTGGAGCATCCGAAAAATTTGAATGGCCAACTCCCTGCTTTCTTATCCCGAGCGCAACGCTTGTCATGTTCCGAGGTGGCACTTGTGACACAGAGAGGGAAGTTTTGCCTACTTGTGGGACAGCACTGGCGTCACTATCAGTGTCGCGAGACGTTCGACACTTGAGCAAACAGCACACGGTGGGGCCGTCCTTGGTGCCGTGCCGTCGGCTACGTTGGCTTCGGAACAAGGATCTCGCCTCGTCCTTGGGAGTCCGCGCTGCGCTACGCCGCGCTGAACCGCGCCGCGCGTCCGCGTGTCGGTGAATGGTCGCGGGAAGTGGCTGCGCGCTGCGCCTTCTATTTCGGCCGCGAGTCCGTGGCCAGCACCAAGAAGCGCGTCTTTTCTGCGTGCGTCCGCGTTGCGCGCGTTGTGTCAGTTGTGTCCGCCTCGCGCCTTTTGTCTCCGACGGCGTGCCTCGGGCGTTTTCTTGCGCGTCGCCTCTGCCGTCTGATTCCGAGCGCTGCTTTCGTCGCTCATGTCTCTCTCGCACTCATGGGGCGGTCCGTAGGGGTGCGAGAGAGACAGAGCGACGAAGCAGTGTTCGGAATCAGACGGCTGGCCGAGTCCGAGCGGTGCTCTGGCTCTGTCGCACCCGCACGTTGACGCTTTATGTGTGCGAGGGAGACGCGAAGCGACGCACGCACTGTTTGGAATGAGCCTCGGTGCCCGTGGCGCGCGGCTGTGGCGGTGCATACCTGCAATGTGTCTTTGCATCGTGTTGACCCCAACACACTCCTGTCCTGGTTCCCTGGCCTGGCTGGCGGCCGGCCAGGACACTGCGCGGCCAATTTATGCCTGGAGTGAGGCTCCGCACTCGCTCGCACGCACACACTCACTCGGGCGCGCTGACGCCACCCTGTGCGATATTCGCAGTCGCCAGCGCGATATTTGCAGTCGCTGCGCGTTTCGGGAACATCGAGTTCGGCGGCGGCGACGGCCGGATCCCGTGAAATGGGATCGGGAACTCGTCTGGAATGGCCAGGGCCTCGGCCAGGGCCGGCAGGACAATGGGGCGCTCCACAGTGGGCCAGAAGACCGGTGGAGGCGGCCAAAACTCTAGACGTGTTTTGAGCTCCAGAGTCACTAAACAGGCCTTGAACCGAACGTGTGACCCCACCAATGGATTGCCCTCCGAACGAGGAATCCATTGGTGGGGTCACACGTTCGGTTCGAGGCCTGTTTTGTGACTCTGGAGCTCAAAACGCGTCTAGCGTTTTGGCCGCCTCCACCGGTCTTCTGGCCCACTGTGCGCTCTTCGAGGCTCTTTGCGGCCCGGCGTCGTCGCGCAGCCTCACCCCCTTCCCCTCCCCTTCCCCCTCCCCCTCGTGCGTTATTGGCAGCAGGGAAAGGGTGATTATGCAAAGGAAGGGAAAAAGAGGAGTGGCTCGGGGCGGCCTAATGAAATGGTGCGGCAGAGTCGTTTAACTCGATTGAGCCGCTTTGGCGAGCCGGGCGTCAACCCGTTGTTGATTGATGGCCCCTTATCAATGGGAAAGATGGGGGGGGGGGTCGGTTGCGAACGTCTGGAAAGAGAGGCGGCAAGGTGATGTAACACTGCCACCTGCGCCAAAGGCATCAAGTAAAAAGCGGGCGAAACACGAAACATTGTAGCCCGGCTTGAATAGACGCCGCGAACAGGTGTTCCGGTTGCACGGCCGACGGCGACTGCACTTTGCTGGTCTCGGCGGGGCGAGAGTTCTATTTTGGGGCAAACCGTGACGTGGTGGCGGCGGCGTGGCGGCGAGGCGGCGGGGCTGGCGGCGTCACCGCCCGCGCGGAGGGCGCGCGCGCCGTCAGGATGGACGGCGACAACTGAAGGTCGCCGTCGCCGCGCGTCGCCGTCGTCGTCGGGGTTGAAGGTTTCATGGTTTTGGCGGGAAGGCGGCCGGCTGCGTGGCGGAAGCGGCACCTGTCTCCGCGGCCCGAGGCTCGGCGTCGAGCATAGACAACATAGCGTCGAGCGAGCACGCCGGCGGCGGACACGTGGACACGTGCCTTGCCCCCTCTTCGCGCGCTTCGCGCCCCGCTTGATTGAGTCAAGTTGCCACCGCCTCGCGCTTCCTCGTGCTTCTGCTGGTTTGGGCCGGAATCCGCCCTGGCGTGAGTGCGAACAAGTGCGAGCTGTGTGAAACCTAGATTGGGGCAATCTTGGACGTCCGGCGGAGGGCCCTGCGGGACCACGCCGCTGTGAGCCCAGTGCCCTCCACGCAGCCCCTGGAGGTCGCGACCCGTCTGGTCGTTGCCATTGCCATAATTGCGTGTGGCAAGGCATGAGAACGAAGAACGTCCAGCCGTTCGTTCGGCCCGGCAGGCAGGCCGAAGGCTGGCCAAAGGCAGGGCCGGCCAGCGACCCGCTGAGTCGGGTCGAGTCAAATTTCCCTCGCGCGTGGAGCAGGCGAAGCAAGCTGACCCGGTTCGCCGCGTCGACGCGATGGTCTCGGTGCCGCCGTACCGCCGGGGCCGGGACTGCCGTCGAGGCTGGAGGCGTTGATAACGACGCGCGCTGGACGGCGGCCAGGTGCTGCTGCACGCGCCGCCCCAGGTCCATTCAGTCCCGTGTGTCTCTGCGCTCATTTGCAACAAACCGCCGTTAAAGTCCGGCGTGGCGCGCGCGTGTGGCGCGGGCGCGCCAGAAGGCCGTGCCCGTCGGGGCGGTGCACAGTGGGCCAGAAGACCGGTGGAGGCGGACAAAACTCTAGACGCGTTTTGAGCTCCAGAGTCGCTAAACAGGCCTAGAACAGAACGAGTGACCCCACCAATGGATTCCTCGTTCAGAGAGCAATCCATTGGTGGGGTCACACGTTCGGTTCGAGACCTGTTTAGCGACTCCGGGGCTCAAAACGCGTCTAGAGTTTTGCCCGCCTCCCACCGGGCCCACTGTGCGGTGTGGCGGTGAGCTCGACTAGACCGGGTCGGAAGGTGTAATCCGAGCGCGGAGCAGCTGACTGCGCGGCCGCGCCGCGGGTCGCGGCTCGCGGGTAGGACGCTAGTGGCGCGGTGCGAGTGAGCGTTCAGTGAATCTGACAGTGTGGCGGCCGGGCCCATGCATACTAGTTGAGCTGCGTTGGCGGTGCGGTGGGCGGAGGGTGTTGCAGGGCCTTGCCGGCTTGCCGGCTGTCACCGCGCCCGTTAACCAAACAGCCCCGCGTCTGCCAAGAGCGAAACGCGGCGCGCGACGCGGTGTCGTCAGGAACTTTCCCGGCGCTGCTGCCACTATTTATTTCATTTCCATCCTCGTGCAAATGCGCGCCGCGCTGTTTTTGTGCTCGGCCGCGGCGCACTCAGGCGGGCTGGGCGCGGTAGAGATACGAAAATGGAGCCGGGCCGACCTTGGCGGGAGATAAACTAGTGTTTCGACTTTCTTCCGACGGTCCTCGCCCTCCTCCTGCTTTCGGCCTGTCTAGTGCAGGCCCGGGGGCGCGCGCCGCTCCCGCCGCTCCCGCCGCTCCCCTCTCCCCGCACAGTGGGCCAGAAGACCGGTGGAGGCGGCCAAAACTCTAGACGCGTTTTGAGCTCCAGAGTCGCTGAAGGTACCCAAACCGACTGAGTGACCCCTCCGGATGGCTCTCCGAACGAGGAATCCATTGGTGGGGTCACACGTTCGGTTTGAGTCCCATTTAGCGACTCTGGAGCTCAAAACGCGTCTGGAGTTTTGGCCGCCTCCACCGGTCTTCTGGCCCACTGTGCCCCGGCCCGCACAATGGCATGGATGGCGGGGCGCTTCGCTGGGGCTCTAGCGTAGCCTCGGCGTCTGGAGATGAAGGCCCGCAGGGGGGCGGGGTAGTTTTCAAGGCCGCGCGTGCAAGGCTGCTGTGCTGCGAGCGTTAAACACACACTGGCGACGTTTTTAATTTCCGTTCCTGGATTAATGTTTGCGTTTAATTTCACTGCGACCTTTCGGCAAAGCACCCGTGTGCGCTCGTGTGTGAGTGAGAGCGAGAGAGAGAGAGAGAGCAATCATGGCTTGTGTGCGTGCGCGCGGTCATCGTGCGAATTAAGTGGGCGAATTATTTTTATCGGCGGTGAGTGCCTCCCGGGTGACATGACGGCGCGCAGCCCAAAGCCGAGGTGGCCGGTGCGGCGGCCGCGCCGCGCCACCGCCTGACCCAATGAGCCACTTCTTGAACGCCCTTCGGCTTTCGGCCGCCAGGCCGCCACTCCCATCCTTCTTTCTTTCGTTTTGCCGCTATTCTCGGCGGGGGTTGGTGGCAGTGTACTTCCGCGCCGTGGCGGGGCGGGCCCGCGGCGGTGGCGCCCGCCCCGCGGGGTGAGCAGTGGGGTGGGCGGACACGGGCAGGGCCGGCAGGGCTTACCACTCGGCCCGAGGCCACGGCCTGGGAGGACGCGATGCACTTTGCATGAAAAATGGAGGAGCTTCGATTGTCCGCCGTGTGGGTGGTGTGCCGGAGTGGTACGTGGCTGAAGCGCCCCAGGAAGCAGCGGTAAAGAGGTAGAGCCTGACCGCGCACTACTTGTTGCGTCCGGTATGAGAAACCCGTGAGTCGGAATCGCGCACCTGCGGTGACCTGCGGCCACTGCACTGCACGGGAAGTGCGCGGCGCGCGGCGTGTCGACTGTTTGATGTCTGCTTGACGTTTGTTCTTGTTCTCGTTGCAGGCGGTGGAGAGCTAGCGCGTGGCCATGACGCACGCGCCCGCTGCCCGGAAGAAGCCCGGCGCCGAGGATGACGAGTCCGAGACCGACAGCACCGCGGTGCCTCCTCCGGACGGCGGCTGGGGCTGGTTCGTGGTGTGGGCCTCCTTCATGATCCACATCGTCAGTAAGTACAGTGTAGTCCTGGGCCGCCCAGGCCGCCCAGGCCGCCCGGGCTGTTGACTTTGTGATTGGGCGCAGTGACTGCTTTATTGCTGGTGCAGTTGGCGGGGCTGGCTGGCCGGCCGATGGGTCGGCGTCCACGCCTTTCCGTTGCCATGACAGCCATGAGGGCACCGCCTGTCAAACTGTCAAAACGGCCGTCGTCGCGCCATTATTGCCGAGACGGCCGAGGAGGGCTGGTGGCTGGTCGCGGGTTCGAGCCCTCCCGGAGGCAGAAGCTTTTCCTCTTTTCCTCGCTCGGCCGGCGCTAGGTTTTTCATCAGTGGCGCCGGCGACAGTGCCATGCCCGCCATTCCCCGAGGGGCTCGTTAGCAGAGCTCTGCCGAGTGCGAGCAAGGGGTACACTGCGAGGCAAAGACACAGGACGGGGAAGGTACACTCCGAGACAAAGACTCGGGACGCGTAGAGGTACACTCCAGGACAGACACAGGACGCCGGAGGTGCACTAGGGGTCGAAGAGAGAGACTGCAAACGAGTGCGAGCAGGAAGCGGAGGGTACACTCCTCGACAAAGATTCAGCCGAGTGCGCCCTGGTTGGAGCCGGGCCGAACTGGAATCCTAAACGAAGGGCTGGCTGCTGACTGGGCGGCCGGCCCTGCGGCCCTGCATGCGTAGTCTTCATTAGCATCCCTACGTTTCCATTCCAAATGCGGGCCTCGCTGGGATTGGAGGAGGGGCAGGGGGGAGGGCAAATTGGAATTATCGCCACTCGCGGTCGAGTCTGCGCTGCGCTCGCTGCGCCAGCCCGGCCCGGCCGGCCCGCATGCGGTGCAGCCCGCCATGAATTGCCATTAATTCCCCGCAGCCGTCCCTGATTTAATTTGACGGACGAAAGCAAAGGCAAAGGGCAGGGGAGGAGGGGGGGGGGGCCTCGGCGACGGCGACAACGCGACCGCAACAGACCGCAATGTGTTTGGCGCGCTCTATGCGATCCGAGCGCGGTCTCCAGCCTTCCAGCCAGCAGAGCGCCTGCGAGGCAGGCAACGCAGTGCCAGGCGTGTGGACGGGTTGCCTGCTCGCCGGGCGCCCTACCATTGCCATTAAGGGCTAGACCACACATGATCGTATGCCATTTCGGGCCCGACACATGCCCGCCTGCACTGCAAAACGAGTGCTTGACTTGGCGCTGCGGCCTGCGCGGTGAGGGCGACGTCCTGGGCGTCGTCCTGGGCGGCGCCGTGGCGGTGCCCTGCCTCGGCACGACGGCACGACGAGCGCGTTCGCCCCGGCTGGCGGGCTGGCGGCCTGGCGGGCGTCCAGCAATCAGCTGCTTTGGCGCTGGGCTGCGCTCATCTTCTTCCACCTCTCCTCGGCCTGGGCGGTGACGGACACCCTTTTGTTTGTCCGCGTGGACACCGCTTCGGCCGGCGGGCTGCTATCGCGTCGTGCAGGCACGGCGTCCACGCATCGCGATGCCGTCCTCGCCCCGCCCGGTGGCTCACGGCGCCTCGGCCAGCAAGTGGAGCAGGCCGCCGCGCTGCCGCCGTGGTGTCTGGCTTTGCGCCGGACGCCAAGCCGCGATTCCGAAGGCTCGTTTCGTCGCTCTGCCTTCCTCGCACTCATCGGGCGTCCCGTGGGGATGCGAGAGAGACAGAGAGACGGAACGATCCTTCGGAACGGGGCGGCAGACGCGCTGCAGCGTGGCCGCCCTGGCCGGTCTGCAGCCGCGCGCCTCGCGCTGCAGTCGCCGTGTAAATTTAGCCGGCCCGCCGATGCGTTCCCCAGAGGGGTAGTGGGAGGGGAGGGGGGCGTCACGCAGTCAGTGGTGTCTCGCACGCACGGAGCACGTGCGCGCGCGTGCGAGTGCCAAACGGTGGCGTAGCCGGCTAGGTGGTCGCTGGGTGGCCGTGGCGGCCTTGACGGGGTGCACTGGCACGCCGTGCACGCGGCCGGGGAGGGGGCGTAAATGTGGTCGGGTTCGTTCGGTGCCTAACCACCAGTGGCGGATCCAGAGGCGGCTTATGGGGGGGGGGCAAAGTCGCACTTTTTGCCTACCTTTCAGGCGGCTATCTAGGCTATGGGGGGCAAAAACCCCATTGCCCCCCCCCCCCTGTATCCGCGCCTGCTAACCACGTTGGTGTCTGTTGCAGCCGATGGAGTGACCTACTCGTTCGGCCAGCTGCTGCCCCCGCTGGCCAACTACTTCGACGTCGGGCTGGGGGCCACCTCCCTCATCATGTCCATCTTGGTCGGCGTCACCCTTTGCTCCGGTACGTACACTGCTCTGCTTTGGCCCCGGCGCTCTGGCTTCGGCCTGCTTCGCACTGTTTGGACGGCTGCAGTACCTTGTTTGCGTTTCAGGGCCCATCGCCTCCGCCTTCGTCAACAAGTGGGGCTGCCGCACCGTCACCATCGCCGGCGCCCTCCTGTCTGGCGTGTGCCTGGCGGTCAGCTTCTTCGCCACCAACGTGGCCACGCTGTGCGTCACGATCGGCCTGGGCGCTGGTAAGGGCTGGTCGCTTCCGTCGCACAGTGGGCCAGAAGACCGGTGGAGCGGCCAAAATTCTAGACGCGTGTTGAGCTCCAGAGTCGCTAATTGGGACACAAACCGACCGTGTGACCCCACCAATGGATTCCTCGTTCGGAGAGCAATCCATTGGTGGGGTCACACGTTCGGTTCGAGGCCTGCTTACCGACTCTAGAGCTCAAAACGCGTCTAGAATTTTGGCCGCTCCACCGGTCTTCTGGCCCACTGTGCGTCGCTCTGTCTCTTTCGCACCTATAAGGAACGGCCATGAGAGGGAGAGCGACGAAAACGACGATGCATTAGTCTGTAGAATGTACTGAAAGATTACCGCCATGCTGACGGAGACTGATCCTCCAGGTTTCGGCTTCGGTCTCATCTACCTGCCGGCCATCGTGTCGGTGACGTGCTACTTCGAGAAGTACCGGTCGCTGGCCACGGGCATCGCGGTGGCGGGCTCGGGGCTGGGCACGTTCATCTTCGCGCCCTTCATCGGCTACCTGCTGCGCGAGTACGGCGGGTGGCGCGGCGCCATGCTCATCCTGGCGGGGCTGGTCTTCAACACGGCCATCATGGGCGCGCTGTTCCGGCCGCTGGAGAAGCCGCGCAAGCGGCGCGACACCGAGCTCCAGGAACTGCACAAGGACAAGGCGGAGCTCAAGATGCTGCTCAACGGGGACGTCGCCAAGGAGAACCAGGTGCGCTCTCGCGCTCCGCGTGGCGCGCCGACTCTTGCAGGTGTTTGTCTGCACGTGTTTATTGACCGGCTTGTTTCCTCGTGTTCGCCAGTCCTCCAACCAGCTGATGCCGCCGGCGCAGACGGTGATGCGGTCCGCGCACAACATCTCTACGGCCGGGCAGGACCAGAGCGGCGACCACAACACGGTGCCCAGGAACATGAAGGTGCTCAGCCTCAACCTCAGCGCCACGCCCCACCAGGTAAGGCCTCGGCGACGACGGCGGCCTCCACGTGGTTCTGGCTTCCGTGGAGCGATTCGCCCGGCTCATGGAGTGCGGGCAGCGGACTCACGTGACCGGCGTATTACTCATCGACGCCCTTTTGTGCAGATCCTCACCGCGGGGCAGAACCACCACAACCATCATAACCACAACCACAACCACCACCACAACCATTCGTGGCGCCACAAGAGCGACATCGCCCGCCTCGCACTGTCGCAGCCCACGCTGCAGACCACGACGGGCTCCGTGCAACACCTGGCCGGCTCCGGCGTCATGTACCGCAAGGACGTCTTCTACCGCGGCTCCCTCGTCAACATCCCGCACTACAGGTAGGGCAGGCTGGACGCGCCGAGTCCGCGTCGACTAGCCACTGGCGGTAACGTGTACTTCGAGTGGTGCTACCGAGGTCCTGCCGCATTGTGCCCATTATAGTGTGCTTCCAGCCGCCTCGCTGCGTCCGCGTCCTCGTGGTCCTGGTCCGGACTGCGCTCTGCCTCTGCGTTCCTCGACTTGATCCTGTTTTCTCTCTTTCCGCACTGATCTGTTGGCCCAGCCCCCGTAGCGAGCGCGGCGGTAGCCCTACAGCCTCCGAAGCGTCCACACTGCGAATATCGTCGCTGGCAGTCAAGTCGCCGTTGTCGTCGCGGTCCCGGTCCCGGCCGCTGAGCGCGCCGCAGTCGCCGGAGTGGCGGTACTCGCTGGGCTCGCGGCCCCGCAGCCTGCACGCCCTGCACAGCCTGCGCGGCCTGCACGGCTCGGCCAACATGGCCTTTGCCGACGTTGGCTACCTCAAGGATGGCGCTGAGGTTGAGGGCGAGGAGGAGGCCGTCGCCGCCGCCGCCGTCAGGGCGGTCGAGACGTGAGTCCGCGCTGTGGCGTGGGTGAAGGCGGTCAGCTGTCGGGTCATCGGTTCATTTAGCGTGTAGGCTGCCTCATTTTCGTATTCGGACGTGTGTCGGTGCGACCGGCCGCGCTAAGCATGGCAGGGACTGGGACGTGGACCGCGTACTGCATGTGCGGGTTGGATTCCCATGGTAGACGCTCCAAATTGGAGGGAAGTCCCACTGGCCGGTCGCACCAAGATAGTAGACTACATGTGGCTGTAGGAATCACGGTGTCGGCATAATGGCAACTGTTTTAGTTTTAGGATACGTCACCGGTCATGTTATCTGTGTGGTCCATATTACGTATCTTATTAACCCAACTGTGATTCACTCTGGCATTGTATTTCTAGCATTGCAGCTCTGTGTGTTCATTGACTAACGGAGCATCTTCATGTGCGGCCCGCGGCATGCGGCGTTGCGGAGCAAGGGGCCCGGCCGATGTGAACTGTGTCCTTCACGACTAACCCGGACTAGGACAGAATGTAGAATCACTTAGACTAGCGAGCGCACTCAGTGGTGGCCATGGCTGCATTTCGTTCCCATTCATTCGGAGCAGAAGTGCATGGTCTGTGTGTGGGCCTGTGCCTGTGTGTTTCGCTGGTGACGGGTGCAGCTGCAGCAGTCCTTCCCCATGCCAAAACTGAAGGCTGACGAGATTCGGCTTCCTTTGCAGGTCCGCCAGCAAACTATCTCGGCACACCAGCGCTGAGGGGCTGGGCCTGTCCAAGTGCCCCTCCGAGATGGAGAGCCCGGACTCCGAGGCCCAGCTCACCGTGTGCGGGTGCATTCCCTGCTCGCCCGAGACCAAGGACACCCTGACCGAGATGTTGGACATGTCGCTGTTCAAGGATGTCATCTTTATCCTTTTCACAGTCAGCAACTTCCTTACGTCCATTGGTTTCTACATGCCCTATGCTTATTTAGGGGTAAGATGGTGAATTTTCCTTCTTGAAACATTTTTCTATTTTTTCTGTTTTCTAATTTGGAGCATTGGTGTTTGCAGGCCTACGCTGAAGAGACTCTCAAACTTTCCTCCTGGGAAGCAAGTCAGCTGGTGGCCATTATAGGTATTGCAAACACAATAGGCCGCTTGGTTCTTGGCTACATCTCTGACAAGCCATGGGTGAACAGGCTGCTCATTTACAATCTCGCACTCACCATTGCAGGCGTGGGTAAGTGGAAGACTTTCATGTGTTTGGACATTTTTCCTATTTCACCATTGCAAAATAGCTATCGGACTGACTTTCTCTTTCCCTTTTTTCAGCCACGTGTCTTGTGGTAGTCTGTGAGGACTTTTGGACACTCGCTGTATATGCAGCAGTATTTGGATTCACCATTGGTGCCTATGTGGGCCTTACATCTGTAATCTTAGTCGACCTGCTTGGTCTTGACAGACTGACTAACGCTTTTGGTCTTCTGTTGCTGTTCCAAGGACTCGCTTCCTTCGCTGGCCCACCAATTGGAGGTATGTATATCCTCTATTAGGATTTTTATTTTTCCTTTATCTTTTGTAATGTTTCAACTAATAATACTGTTTTATTTGATTGTAGGAAAACTAAAGGACGACACTAATTCTTATAAGCCCAGTTTTTGGGTGGCTGGAGTAGCAATGGCACTGAGTGGGTTGATGCTCTTCGTTGTGCCGCCAATCCAGAGGATGCAGGCAGAAAAGAGGAGAAAGGCTCAAATTGTTTCATCACCAACCAATGGAAATAGCAGGCCTCAAGCAGTTTGAAGAACCTGGGCCACTGTGTATAAACTTTTTATATAAATTCGTCTCTTGATTCTGTGCTGCTTTGTTTCCGAACAGACTTCCACTTTTCAAGAATCAATTTGTTTTTGTGGCTCTGTGACCAAACAGTTGATTTGTTACTATTCTGTTACCTACTGGTTCTATCCAATATTATGGATGTTAAGGATGTATTGTCAACAGTAAATTTTAAATACTGACCAGACTTAGTCACAGGACCAACTTTGTGTTTCAAAATTCAGTGACCGTGCACAAAGCGCGTTTTAATTGTATGTACCTTGCTGAACCATCCCTCTGCATAAAAGTGCGCCTCAAAGCACGGTGTGCTATGTTCCTACCTCGATCATGGTAGACTATTGTGATCCTTAGGTTTATCAGGGTAAACATTTCTACCGCTTGCTGTAAGAATTAGGAGTAGTGTTAATGCCATTCTGTGGGTGCTCTCAATAGATTTTAAGTCAAATTGTGTGAGTACCTTCAGTTAAAACGGAAGGTACTTTGAGCAGACACTCATAACTGTTTGATTGAAAGGGATATCTAGTCATCCATTCACAACCAGCCGACTTACAGATGCATTTTAATTTATTTTAACTGTTTTTATCTTCCTGGACTGTAGCTTATATTTGAGTAATGTGATCATTTGCAGCATTTTTTTCTATAGGATGCATTTTGCGGTATATTGTGGATTGATGATTGACTGTAATTAATGCTGAGGAATCTTCTCTCTGTGATACATATGTACTACATTCTTCTATACTCTTTTGATATCTTTTTCTTAATAAATGTGTGTTTCACCTGTCTCATAAATTTATTAGATGAAACTCTGTTTGGCTGCCTAAGAAAAAAAGATTATCCAACTACATTTGATTACCTATTTAATCATTCTGTATATATCTGTCTGTTAGTTAATAACATTTACCAAAATTGCAATGTGAGAGGTGCCTCTCTTTTTCCGCAATAGAGGCAAGGCAAGAGGCATAAGAAAGCGCATATAGCTTTCGTTATCACTAAATTTTTTTGGAGGATGGCAAAGTATGTTTAGGACTTGGCTTCCATTTTAGTGCCACAATTTAAGACACATACTTCCACCGATAGTTTCTCTTGCTTGTGAGACCTTCCAAATCGCAAAGTTCTAAGAATGAGTCTAAAAGAATGTCTGAGTAGAGCAGATACTGTTGATGCTAATTTATTTTTTTAAAGGTGAGCATGATAGTGTGAATGCTGTGCATTTAATTTCCGCACAAGTGATACAAAATTTTATTTAAAGAGTCCATGCGCATTGTCTTCAATGCATTTTAAGACAGGTGATAGCGGCCGATGTAAATAAGATCTCATCAGCAACTCATTCTTCAATGTGATCATTTTTTGAAGTGAGCATACATTTGATATGTGAACAGGTAATACCTGATAATTCTTCAATGTTGAATCAACAATGAAGCCATGTAAATAGTTATGTACTTAACTGCATTCCTGCTGTGTGGGTTGCAGTAATGTGAATTGTTTTGACCAATAAATTTAAGATTTGTATAATTGTTTGATGGTTTAAAATTGAGAACAAAATGGTGGGTTTTCAAAATCTTTTAATACTATCAGAGTACAGAGGAATTACATAAATTCTACCCCTTCGTCATTTTTATAATAAATGCGGCACTTTTTCTATTATACATCAGCTGTCCAGCCGTAATGAATTCACAGTTTGCAACAACACTATTTCCTACACAATATTTCATTCAAAACCGCGACAAAATAAACATCACTGTGCTACGCAGCATTGCCCTAACACTCGACAACATTGATTGCAAAATTTATTAATAGGGTGTGACAAGCATCCTTGAACCAAGGACATGATAAAATGTGGGACACACATGATTACTACTAACCAACTAAATCTGGAACTTTCTATCCTTCATCTCTTTGGAGGCCTTCACCTTACTGAAGAACTTGTCCATGTCCTCGACCTCCTCGCCGTTGTCTTCGGACTCCTTCCCCTTGTCGGCCCACTTGCCCTCGTTCTTCCAGTGGTCCCCCCTGAAGCCGTCCTCCGGGGAGCCGCCCTGCCTGCTCTGGTAGTCGTCGTCATCCCTCTCCTCGCCCTCGCTCAGCGGCTCGCTGCGCCGCGGCGTCTTGCTCCTCTCGGCGCCGTCCTTGCTGCCGCTCTCCTCGATGTACTTGTTGATCCTGTCCTTCTCCGCGTTCACCTTCCGCATGGGGTCGTCCTCGTAGCTGCTGGCGCGGTCGCGGTCGGCGCTGTCCCTGTCGCGAGACCTGCGCCTGCTGTCGTAGCGGTTGTCGTACCGGTTGTTGTAGCCGGGCTTGAAGTTGTTGAACCTCCCGCGTCCGCGGCCCCTGCCTCTGGGGATGAAGCCTCGGCCTCGGTAGTTCTGGTAGCGCGGGTTGAAGCCGCGGCCTCGCTGGAACTGGCCGCGAGGGTTCTTGTAGTTCTGGAAGCGGGGCTTGTAGTAGGTGCCGCGCTGCCTGGGGAAGCGGCCCTGGTACTTGCCGTGGTAGTCCCGCCGCCTGTCGGGCGAGCGGCTGCGGCGGTAGTCCCTGCTGCGCGACCTGGACCGGTCGTAGGACCGGCTGCGCGAGTAGTAGGACCGCCTGTCGTGCGACCGGCTGCGCGAGCGCGACGCCGAGCTGCGGTAGTCCTTGTAGGACCGCGACCTGGACCTGTCGCGGTAGCGCTCCCTGTCCGGAGAGCCGGGCTTCTTGCCGCTGGGAGACACGGACCGGTCTTTCTTCTTGTAGGAGGCGCCCGACCGCGAGCTGGACACGCTCGAGCCGCGGCTGTACTTGCGGCCGCGCGACCGGCTGCGCGACCTGCTGCTGGACGAGCGCGAGCGCGAGTGCATGTCCTTCTTCTTCATGGGGGGATGGCCCTTGCCGGACTCGGACGAACGGCTGCGGCTGCGGCTGTGCTGCTGGCGGAGGCTGCGGCGCCCGCGGTCCATGGCGCTCTCCTTGGACGGCATGTCCGGGGAGTCGTCGCGGTTCTTGTCGTCCATCTTGCCGCGGCCGTGACCGTCTCCAGACCGCCTCATCATCTTCTCCATGCCGAACGACTTCCGACTCTTGCGGCCGAAGTCCTCGTCGTCTTTGTCGTTCTTGTACTGGCCATCCTCGGGTTCGTCCCAGTGGTCCTTGCTGGTCTCCATCTTGCTCTCCTTTTTCTTCAGCCTGGACAGAAAGAAGGTACACTGTAAGCTGCTGCCTGGATCGATAGCGATTGGATAAATAAGAAACAGTGTGATGGACAATGGCTACTTACGCAGATCCCACAGTCGGAATTTGCATTTTCCACTTTGCAGACATGATGGGCCTTTGAGGGGAGGGCGACATCTTTTGGTCTGAGAAGAAACAAGAGACAATTATACCATTTTCATGATTCTAGAATGATTAGGATGGTACAAAAAATTGTTTAAGAAACTCACCTTGGAGATCCATATCATCATCGTCATCATCATCCATTCGAGATGTTTTAGGTGAAGATTTGGACTTGTCCTTTGACTTTTCCATTGATTTGGAGCCAGAACTATGCCTGATAACATTAGAACAAGTTAAAAAGAAGTTAAGTAAAGTAACATTCATAATTTAAAAAATAAAAAACTTAATACCTTTTTGAGAGGCCCGTATCTTTTTCCACTTTGGCATAGTAAGCGCTTAGCTTGGATTCCAGATCATCCAGCCCGTCCAAACTCAACAACCTACAAGATGCGAAAATAATAACAAAGAGTATTTAATCAATCATTACGTAAAATTCTTAACAAAATCATTTATAAATGACAAAAGTTCTTACCTCAATGCATTCTTTTCTGTTGAACCTGGCTCCCGAGATGACAGTTCCTTAGCTTGGGCAGGTCCACCGTATAGGAACTCTTCTTCCGCATCCACTATATGCTTTGGCATTCTGCGGGCTAACAGGGCATCCACCTTGCGCTTGGTCGCTTCCAGTTCAGCATCACTCTTGTCACCCATACTCTTGTCCAAATCTCCACTGGAACGGTTCTTCTTGTGCTTCTTTTCACGCTTCTTCTTCTTACTTTTTTCCTTGTCATGTGATTTCTTCTCTTTCTTCTTCTTTTTCTTAGATGCCTTATCTTCCATTGCCTTCTTTTCCTTTTTCCTAATTGACAAAAAAGGGGGAAAAAAAAGGTAAGAAACAATAATGGGAAATCTTAAGAAATGTGTGTTCAAAAGAGTGCACTAATGAAAAACAGAAATACATACCATCTAGCAGTTTCTTCCAAGAATTTTCGCACCTTATCTTCATAGTCCAGGTCACCTTTGGTTTGTTCAATGAAAGAACGAACTTTCTGTTCATAATCTGACTCCTTCTGGGCAGCTATAAGATACAACATACAATACATTAGACATTATTCAAAGCCAACACAGAATTTGCTATATTAAAGGGCTGGGATTTAATTTTTAATTTAAGTTTGACTATTTAAAATACCATGCCTGAAAAAGGCTTCCTCAGAACCTTTTTAACATGCACAACTCAGAACTTTAAAAGTTAAGTAACTACTGTAAGATCAGATACTGGCCAGGTAATAGTTAACCCAAAAAGATCTGACATGCACAGATAAAGTTCATGGAGATATCTAGAGTAAATCACTAAAGTCCCACCAGCAAAATATTAATACTAAAGCCACATGTTTAAAATAAAGCTGGAAGAAGGGATATGGGATTGATGGTTTAAATGAAGTCCTATTAGCCAGTTGTAACTTTGCCCGCCTTGCCCCTCAGGCAACTCACCAGAATAGTTATATGGGTATGATGAGAATTGCAATGGTGCATTATATTGAGGCATCTTCTGGCTCATAGAACCTGTGTTTAGCAACAAAAGAGCGAGAGGTGTTAATAACGGAATGGCAACAAAATTGTACGCTAAATTACATTTTTTTAAAAGAAGGTTAAGTTGAGAAAACACAGCCAATACTACTAAACATCAACCAATACCTATTCATTCACTTCTGAGTTACAAAAACTACGCAATGAAAAGAAAATTCTACAAAAAGATTTAATTTAAAAAGAAAAAAACAACAGGTCAATTTTAAACAGAACACCTTGATAGTAAAAATAAAGATAGAATTCAGGTGGAAATTTGCATGCTTACAAAGCTTTAAAGAAGGCAGTTTGAGGTTGATGACAAAAGGTACCAAAATTCCAAGTACACAACTCATGCAATAAAAATAAAACTACCAGGAGACAACTTTATTCCTGTGCATCTAGCATTTGAATTTAGACAAATAGGTATTCATGCATATTCAACCATGAGGGAAGCTTCTGTGGTTGACATCTATTGATAAATGCAGAAGTCAACTAAAATCATGCACACGAAAACTTAAAAACATTAGGGAGACTTACCATCTGCCTCTGGGTTATCCATGGCCATGCGCTTGCTGAGTGGGGACAGGGATCTTTCACGGCCATCCTTGCTCTTGCTCTTACTGTAAAAACACAAAAATAATCTGGTTAGAGGTGTTCCATCATTGCCTTAGAATGGAAATTGAGGTAAAAACACAAGACATACCTCTTCCTTCTCTTCTTCCTATCCTTGCGGGAATGTGACCGCGAGCGGGACGATCCAGAATGGGAAGATCCAGAGCTCGAGCTTGAAGACGATGATGACGAGGAGGAGCTTCGTGAGCTGTCACTGGAAGAGGAGCTGCTGCTGGAGCTTGAACGATGACGCCGCTTGCGAGATCTAAGAACATTGAAAATTGACTATAAAAAGGGCACCACAACAAACAACATATTTTCCAGAACAAGAAGGTGAACTCACTTGCGATCCTTTTTCTTCTTCGACTTCCGCTTGTGCTTGTCCTGTGGTTCTTCATCCTCTTGGTCCACCTTCAGAAGCTGCTTCAAAGTTTCCTTCATTTCCAGGGACTTGGTGGGTGTAAGTCCAGGAAGACCAGACACATCAGTCATCTTCTTTTTGATGAACTGAATAGAGTTGGTTGCTTCTTCATGGAATGGGACAATAGTTAGACACTTTTCATAGGATTTCATAGCATCATCCAGCTTGTTATCTTCTTCATAGCTGAAAAATGAAAACGCAATTAGCATCTGCTCCTGAATTTAAGCATTATCTGAGAGCAAACAATTGAAGGCATACCTTCGGCCCAACGCGACCAAGGTCTCGCCCATGTACTTTCGGGCATTTTGATGAGTAGGATTAAGCTTCAGTGAAGCCTCGAAGTCTTCAATAGCCTTGCTAAAGCTACCACTGTTAGCATACCTGGATTAATAATAAAAGCAGGCATGAGCACAATTATCACAACCAAACCACCAATAAATAGGCATGACAACAAAAACGAATTCACTTACAATGCTCCACGGGCAACCAAGCCTTCGATGTTGCGGGGATCAATGCTGAGAGCCTTGTTCAAACACTGGAAAGCCTCGGTGTGACGTCCTGCCTTGAAGTGTTCAATTCCATCAGCGACACTTCGGAATGCCCACTTGCTGGCTTGAACCTGTCGAAGTTCTGTGGCATACTCCTGCTCTGGGAAACGAGCCCTGAACATAAGAATGTTAATGAGTTATCCTTGCAAATCCAAAATTAAAAGAAAACAAAACAAAGCAAAAGAGAAAAATTAACGACAAAGATGAAGCGAGTGACTATCAAGTCATACCTGAGGCCACTAATGTGGGAGTAGTTCTTGTTCTGAAGACCCATTGAGGTGGCCAAATAAGTGATGCTACCGGGGTTGTTGAAAGCAACATTGTTTTTCAACAAGACTTCGAACGACTCATTGGTTCGATCCTGAATTCGCCTGGATAATCATATCACCCAAGACAAGTATTATTGAGTGGAAACATACATCAGAGCCAACATAAGAACTTCCCAGGATATAAATCCCCAGAATCCAACTGAATTCACTAAAATTGTGCTGTGACTAATAAAACACTGGGTCACAGAAAGGACATGTTCAGCACTGAATGTAAATGTGCTTGAGGGACCTAAACACTCTTCAAAAGTGCTTCAGACCATCAACCAATTGGTTTCATTCAGGATATGGGCCTCATCCCTAAAAATGAAGAAATGGAGCAAAAAAAAGGGGGGGGGGGATGAAAAAGTCATGCAAACATAAGATTGATCAAATGCACAGTCATTGGCAAAAGAGGAATAGGACTTAATTTATGAAGTCATGTTGCAGATAAGGACTGCTAATGGTGTTGCATTACTACATGGAGACTGTTCAACCTAGTCAGAAATAAGAACAATTTCTCATGATCTTGAGAATGAAAGCCTCAACAACACTTCCCATATTATTTTCCATAGCAAGAAGAAACAAAAGCTACCCAAGAAGGAAGCCAAAACAAAAACAAAAATAACCCTACATATGTTAATATGAAGAGAGTTTAAGAGACATTTAAACCTCAAGAACACAGATGTCTGCAAATCAACATAGCAGCACAGTATTGAGTGCTATGCTTGCACACTGAAGAAACCCTGCAATACAAGTTAAGGTGGACAAAATTCAGATCACCGAGAAGGTAGCTGTTAGTACAAGAGTGAGAAAAGCTTTGATGGCTTCGTACTTAGATTTAAATTACTGTTAATATTGACTTGAATATCAGAGAAACTTTGACAATCTGAACTGCGAGTTATCACCTTACAAAAATTGTTGCCTCTGGAAAAGAAATTGGTCCTGACAATCAAGAAATCAAGACGATGAGCAGCCTGAATACATACCTTCCAATCTACCAACAGTAATATATTATTGTCATCACCATTTTCCAGAATATATCAACACATGTCTGGATTATATCTGTCTCCACAAAAAGAACAACAATCCAAGGATGACACCAAACATAAGGTAGAATTGTAATGGCTTTCTGAATACATTTTCTGTTTTATATTGAGCCATGCAGTTTGCAGAGAAGTCTAGCTTCAATGGAGAGATTATTGCACATCAGCAGTCATCAACTCCATACCACTAAACGAGACTGCTTCATTGCAAAGGCAAGGGCCTCTATCAACATCTCAAATATTTATTGGACGCACTGTGGGAAAAGCATCCAAGCATTAGTACATAAAAGTGAAAACACATGAACATCCACTCAGTTTTCAACCACTATAGCCATCAATTGAAGAGCTCAGAATCCTCAATACACATAAGTGGCAGTGGCATTTCTCTTCTTAAAAACACCATTTAACCAAGTGGGATTCCAGTTCCACACGCTTCAGAGCATTTCTTTTCTTCAGGTGTTTCATGCATCCATTTCGGAGCAGGAAGATGGCAATCACAATTATATTTTTTCCAAACCAATATGCTGGAGCTCAATCCACGCCATATTATAATGGATTTTCAACAAATGTACCACTACTATATAAAATCTACAACACTTAAGACTAAAAGCTATGAGCAAGACCGAATGAAGGTAAAAAGTTTTTACCATTGTTTAACTAAATCCAAAGAAAGAAAAAAAGTTAAGAGGAAAAAGAAATAAAAAATGTACATTACAAAAAACCATAGAGGCACCTCATTCCACTTTGAGTTCAAATTGATTGGAAAAAGTTACAGGGTAAAGATTGGCAATTGCACATACCACAAGATAGAAGTGCAAAAATATACTGACACTACAGGATAAAAAGTGAAACCAAATTGCAAGAATCAAAATTAGGTGCGCCTATGGTAGTGAGTTTAAGCCCTAACCGAAACCCTTGGAATATGACGCTGACCAAATTATGTGTACTTAAAAATATAAAGTTTACATCACAAACATGAGGTGCCTTACCTTAAAATCAGATTTGATTGTCTAACTCTCCTTTACATCACTCTGAAAATGTGCTTTAGTTGAATTCATAAATTGGGCTTTATGCCAATGTGATCTGTGCACGCACAAGCATAAGAAGTTTCAACTTCAGCCATGGATCATGGTGTCCCTTGTAATAACATGACTGCCCTCTCCCAAAGGAGTACATCAAGCAACAGCTTTAGTAGTTAGGCTTCATCTCATCGTGTGTTCATCTATCTCTCAAGAGATTTTATCCATACTATACCAAGATGGTAGGAAAATGTTGGTTTTTAGGTTTTCATACTTGCTGTAAAACAACATTGCAATTCTAACAAAATTCAAACAAATGTTTTTCACAGAGGTTTAAAATAAGTCAGTTATAGGGTGACTCAGTTTAAAATGATCAAAAGTGGTCAAAATGTCAAAAAATAAGTTTGGGTAAGAGATTACCACATTCGTTCTGACTATCAACTGATACACCCTGAAAAAGAGTTGCCATCCAGACAAAGAACCAAATCTCTATTTGTAGGGAGAAAGATAGCTTGGACAGGTTTCATTATCCTTATATGGTGAGCTAGAAACATAAAACCCTACGAAAAAACTCACCGGAAAACATCAGGAAAGTCTTCAGAGAAGATAAGACCAAGTCGCGAGTGCTGATCAGAACCAGGAGGCAGCATGGTCCCCTTCATGCCAAGAACAAGTTTGTCTGCCTCAGCTACAACCTCGATAACTTCACAGCACACTGCGTCGTTCAGCAAATAAGTACGCGACACCTTCTTCTTGTCAAGAGCTGGGATGAGATTGATTACAGGACAAAAAGCCTAGACGAAAAAAGACAACAGAAATTAATTAGATGCCCAACAATGCCAGCAATAAAATATCAATGAGGGGTCGTCCACATGTCGTAATGCCTTTTACCTATCTCGCACTAATCGAAGTCTATCTTAGGAAGTCACAAGAACTGACCTACGAAATTGCTGTACATGATATATGGACAAGCCCAAAACAGTAAAGCTGCTACTGACCTTGATCTGAAGATCTCCAACAAAACGTATCCTATCTCCATCTTCAATACTAAGGACTTTCACTGTGAGACCATTGGCAGTTTTGGATATGATGGTGCCAATGACAACATTTCCCAGCTTGCAGTTCTGCGGAGAAAATATAATGTTATTTCAACTGCATTACAAACACATGAGCAAATAATAATGCCAAAAAGAAAGAAAGGGGGAAAAAAGGATGTACCTGGAAGAAATGTCGAACTCTGCTGCCTCGATCCAAAGGGAGGAATGTTTCATAGGGGGGCAGAGCAGCATAGCAATCTGAAAGAAGATGTAAAAACAATTGTTGATCACAAGAGATTTAAATACTGACAATCACAAAATAATATGCAATATTTAAGAAGAAGAATGTGAAAGAAAGATCAAATTACCATCTTCACCAGGTAACTTCCGCGCTTCAGAATGACCTTCTGTGAATGAGAGATCATATAGGGAATTTGCATTTCTGACAATGAACTGCTGGAGCTTTAGCCGTTTGCCTCTATCCTGAAAACTGAAAGAGAGGAGAGCAATAAGAAAAAAGCACTAGCAGAAACAGACTGAAACAGCTGAATGGTGTGTTACTTACTTCAGGGTCTTCTGACGTTGTTGGAAAGCAGAGAAATCTGACTTGATGGCCATATTCTGAAGGTCGACCTCTCCCCTCTCTCCCTCCCATATCTTCTGAAGTTGAGGCCCATGGAAGTTGATGGTCTGAGCCACCAGCTCCGAACTAAGCGGGGCATCAATCATGGTGGGGACCCAGTGGGTCATTTACCTGCACAAACCAAGAAAATAAAAGAAATAATAACAAAGGTATCGAACAATTGACAATTTCAGATCAAGAAAAATTTAGCAAATATAGAGCCTCCACAAACACCAAACAATTACATGAACCAAATCAACAACAGCCTAAACACTGCAGTTGCTTCCCAGTGTTCCTACAGAGTTCTTATTAGGCACTGAGAGCAACAGCAGGAAAGCAAAGGAAGATGTAGGAAGTTTCTGACAAAATAGGAGTGAGGCCACAGAAAAAGGTGCCTCTCGATAAAGTGGATACGTGCATCCATTAAGATTCAATCTCGCACAAGCCACTTTGCTTGAAGCACACCGAAATTGAGAAACGCCGGCTGGCGAACGCTTCCGGACAAGTGCAAGGCATTGCCCTCGCCGACGAACAAAGCCCCTTTGGCCTTGGAATTTGGGATCAGCTCAACACAGCACAAAAGAGGCGAGGGCAAGCAGTGAACATACCGAACCCCAGAAGGAGTAAGCATCACCTAATGCGGCCGAATTTATGATACTACACAAAAACAGAAATCCAATCTTCTGGCCTATGCCAATGTAGAGAAAAATGGCTACCGCGGGACGCTAGGCGTGGGCTATGATGCACGGTGATGCAATACATACGCCCGGTTTAGCGCCAAACTCCGCTCGCGGTAAAGCACCGAGAGTACTCGTTTCAGCGCATACAGCCGCGCGTCACAATTAGCTACACAATAGATTAAATAGATGCACAATTTACCCGCAATTGCTTGGAAACCAGCCCGGAAAAGAGTAAGAGGTGAAACAGCACGCCGCGAGAACAATGTCCGCCGCACCACTACGACGATCACAGCGTTGCCAGACGTAAAGGGCGCTAGCGATGGACACCAGAGGGCAGCACCTGACGCACAAGCAGAGTTGCCAAGTTTAAAGTGTTGTGTACTCTGCTTGCGCTGCCGTGCTGTTGTGGAGTTTTAACTTTTATGCCTAAAACTGTTTATGCACTCTTCTTCGTTCCTTCGCAATCTCATCCAGCGGCTGTTTGAATGCAGAAATGTTCTGAATTTTCACCGTGTCATGGCTTATCAAACACCGAACTCTCGTCAAGGTACAAATGAGCCCTTCGTGTATGACTTAACCTAAAATTCGGCTTGTGAAGTTCAGTTTCACCTCGAGCCCTCCTAGGAAAGAGTAATATTTTTTAAGAGTTTTTTTTTTATCCAAGAAATTCTTGAACGTATTTTAAAATACGAAAATAACCCGAAATCATAGATGCAGTTGTAGCAAAATCACTTTCTTTCCTTCTCAATAATTAATTGTCTTTGTATCTTTACAGATGTTCAAAACCGTAAGATTTTGGAGGATCTTCTTATGAAAAAGCAAATGCTCTTGAAGCAAGGTGTGATGCCAACTCTTAGCCCGACTGCTATCAATGCCCCTGTTATGCCAGTAAGTGACACTGCTTATTCTGCTTATTTCTTTAATTATTTATTTTAATTCTACATATCTTATTATTCATTGTTACAGCCACCCACTGCCGAACAACAAATGAACATTATGCAAAGGAATGCACAGAGCTTAATTGCCAATTCAAACACTTTTTACGTTACAACTGATTCTACTTTTGGAAATCATATTTTACCGGTTATCCCTCGTTTGGAAAACGCTCATCCTAAATAAGTCTGATTTTCATCGTTTTGAATTAATTGTTTTCCTAAGGACAAAAGACTTTTCCTTTGAATTTCCTGTTTTGTTTTTGTTACTTTTGTCTGAGAAAAATTTGTGTGTGGTGGACTTTTTCTGAACAATTTATTGTGGCTCTTCTCTAAAAGTGTCTGCAACCATGGCGTGTATGAAACGCAAGCATCTAGAGGAGTACTTGGAAAGCATTGAGGTGTTTGAGAACCCTAAAGTGGAGCTGGAACAATACCCAACAAAGCCACATATTGCGTCCCACATGCTGTACACCATGCAAGCATCTTATGGAGATGTGCAAGGCAAATTGGTAGCAGATTTGGGATGTGGCTGTGGGGCGCTCTCACTTGGAGCGGCAATGCTTGGTGCTGGCACTGTTGTTGGCTATGATGTGGACCCTGATGCCTTGGAAATATGGAGAGCTAACTGTGACGAAATGGAGGTAGGAATGCGTCTGATTTCTTTTTTTAGGAGGTACCACAGACTTAGACAATATTGTAATGGTTTCAATTGTCTGCAGATTGATACATGTGAAGCTGTGCTGTGTGATCTGACACAGGGATTCCCTTCGTATTTAAGTCACAAGCAGTTTGACACCGTCATAATGAATCCTCCTTTCGGCACCAAACGGAAAGGAGTCGACATGGAATTTCTTCAAATGGCTCTACACCTCGCTAATGGTGCAGTGTATTCACTACACAAGACGTCGACTCGCGACCACGTTTTGGCAAGGGCTGAAAAGTGGGGTGCTAAAGGTGAAGTTCTTGCTGAGCTGAGATATGACTTACCAGCATCATATAGGTTCCATAAAAAGCAGTCTGTGGACATAGAAGTGGACTTTATTAGGTTTTCTTTCCCTAAAGCTAAATGCTCCAAAGGAAAAAGCTGAGATATTTGAGGCGCACAGTTGTGAAATATTTTGTTGGCTTCAGTGTTGTTAACTAAATGGAAGGTGTGATTTTTAAGTGTAATTTAAGTACAAATAATGGATGAAATAAAATAATTGGCTGACTGTTACTGGTTTTTCGTTTTTCTCCTCTCATAATTTTTCTCACCCCATTCAAGTCTTGGGAGTCATTCCCCTTATCGCGTGACCCAAGCTTGTCCAGGCAGGGTCGACATCAGCCCCGATGACCTGAGTTCCGTCCAGAGTAAGGTCATACATACGGACCGTATCCATGTGACCTTGGGCCAGAGCCCCGGCCGAGCCCGACTCGAGCCCCGACCTGAGCCCCGCGCCAAAAAAGTTGCAATTTGACCCAAAACGTTAAAAAGCCAGTTTCGGCTGCGAGGAGCGCCTGCGGACGAGCGGGTAGGCAACCCTTCCGGCGAGCGCGAAGGCATGTTGCCTGCGCGCCAGGCGCCCCACGTCGCGAAACCGGAGGCGCGGCTCATTGCGTGGCAACTGTTCAGTCTCAGCTCAGCCAGTCGAGAACTAAGGTCCGTTGCGCTCGTCTACTGGTTACGCTGCTCTTTCCTTAGGGAGCGGAGCCACCAGACAGCCTTAACACGTGAAAGACGTTCGGACGAACCGTTCCTGCCAGATGAGCTGACGCTGCAGCGACTGCTTCCGCACAGCGTTTCGCCGCTCCGCCTCTCGCGCACCTATACAGGACGCGCCATCACTGCGAGAGAGACAGCGATGTGGGGAATCAGTGGGCTGGCCGGAACGGGCGGGTGCGACGTGCGCTGGCACACACACGCCGGCCGGCCTTGCGCGGAGATGCACTCCTTCCTTCCCGCCGCGCGCGGCCCGGTGCCCTACCAGGCGGATCCTCGCTGATTCAAGCGGCGCGTCCCGCGTCGGTCTCTGTCCGCACGCCGCGCCGCGTGCGTCCGCGGAGAGAGACGGAGAGAGAGAGAGGCCTCCCGCTGGTCCGCATGCAGCGTGAGCGTCGTGAGCGGTGTCGCCGCGCGTGTCGCTGTGGTCGCCGCGGACCGGAGAGCGGAATCGGCAAGGCCAGGCAAGGCCAGCCACTGACATTTGACATTTGTGACTCCGCTCCGCCAGCTCCGCCCTGCCCGCCGCCTGCGTGTGCCTTGGTGTGCTTTGGTGTGCCTGCGCGCTGCGTGGGCCTTCCCTTCGGACGGACGGACAGGGTGGACCGCGCCTTTTGGCCCAAGGGGCCCACGGGGCGGTAGCTCGAGCTGGTTGCCGAACCGGACAACGAGTAATTTAATGATTTCGCAGTACTAATCGTAAACCGCTACATTTGTCACGGACACTTTGTGCCATCCGAATACACTCGGGTCATTTCTATGTACCCACACCAGCATCGCGTAGTTCGCAGAATTTGACAAATGAATAAGAGCAGGAGGGGAGGGGGGACTGTTAAGTTGTTTCTCACTTCACGCGGCATTGACATTCATTCCGTGGTGGCCGTGCAGCGGGGGCGTTGGCGAAAATCTGCCGCGAACACGTCGGCAGCGGGAGTCGATCGCCCGCCCGGCCAAATGGAGCGCGAACTCCACCGCGCTCCGCCCCGCCCCGCCCCGCCCCGGCCCGCGGTGCCGTACCATCAATTCCGAGCGAGGATCCTCGCAGGCCATCAACAAGTCGGGATGCTCAGGTCGGGGTCGAGCCAAAATTCCTCTATTTCCAGATCCCAAGGCCACATACCGTGGTCGGCGCGGCGCCTAGTTCCTGCTCTTCTTCGTTTTGTCCACGGGCGTGCCACGGCGTGCCACGGAGCGGGCGGCGGACACCCGGCGATGGGTTTCAGGATCGTTCCCGCGATAAATATACGGTGTTTGTGTCATCTGCTTTTCTGAGGGGACGGCCGGGACGGCCAGCCTTGTGCCATCCGCGTCCACTTTTTTTGGGATGGCCTCTCCTCGCGCCTTCCTGATGCCTCTCAGGCTCGGGACGGCTTTGCCTTTGCTCTTGTTGCTGCATTTTCTGGTCAGAGAGGCATTAATCTTGCGTACCCTTTCAACCTTTCAAGCCAGCATTTTTTTCCTGTGACGTCATGTATGGCGCCGTTATTTAGTAGCTAGTAGTGTTGATTTAATTGTTGTTTCTTTTTTTTTTGCGGCCTCGTGATACTAAAAGGATAGAGATCCAACCATCATTTTTTTTATATCTTCACTTCTTGGTGCCTGAGTGCCTCTGACACGAAATTAGGTGATTTATCGTATGTATTTTTATCGCGGGGCTATAAGCTCACGGATACGGAATAGGAAAAGAAGCTACCCATATGCAATCATTGAGGAAATATTTATTCATCAAAAATATAAGAACAGAGAATAGACAGAGGTGGAAGATCCTATGATACAACAGTTCTAATGTGGGATGTAGCCACATGGGCATTCTCCGTCCAGGTGGTCGATACAGACCAAATGAAAACGGCACAGTTTATCGTAAATTAGTCTATTTCCATAGGAAACACATAAGGACATAAACACAAGTCAGTCAGCATTCAGTCGCATTCACAGTCGACAAAAATACAAACAATTAATTATGGGTAACTACGGTATGACTGGGGCTCAACATAATAAGCCAAGTATATCAAAATCGTCCGTCGCCTTTCAAAAGTCTTTTCATTCCTAACACAAGTCACAGTCCTACAAAAATAAAAGAAATAATCACAAGAGAAAACTTAATATAAGTCATCACTACACTGCGCAGCGTCAGCACGGGTCGGGCGTCGCGTCGTTCGTGGGCGTGCCGGTCTTGTCGTCCTCGCCGGTGCTTTCTCGGTTTCGCGTCTTGCGTCTACGAGGCGTGGCGTGGCGTCGGCGGCGAGGTGGTGGCGGTGAGTCGTTTCCGTCGCGTCGTCGTCCCTGAAAGGCCCAGAAAGGCCAGGGTGTCGTCGTTCAAGTCTACTGGTCCAGGAGGTCCTTGCTGGCTTTGCGCTTCTTGATCCTGTCGCCGAAGGCGGCCTCCACGAACTGCTCGGGGACCTGCTCGTCCAGGGCCTGGCGCACCTCCACTTCCGGCTGCACCTGCTGCGCCTGCTGGCGGACGATCTGCTTCACCACCTTGACGCGCCGGCTGGCCTTGCTGGGGATGGCCACGACGTTCTCGCTGCTGCTGCTGCTGCTGCTGCTGCTGCTGGAGCTGCTGCTGATGAACTCCTCGGACACGCTGCTGGAGGGAGGCTGGGGCGTGACCTTGATGATCTGCTCGGAGACGACCCTCCTCGAGTTGGTCTTAGGGCTGAAGACCACCTGCTTCTCGATGGTCACCTTGTGGGGCACCAGCACCTGCTCCTCCACGACGCGCTGCCTGGTGACGGGCCGCAGCTCCGTCTTGGTCTCCAGCTCGGTCTTGTACTGATCGGGGGCGCTCACCTCCTCGACGAGCTGCTTGTTGATGACGTCGGTGTTGAAGCCCTGCTCAGTGACGACGGTCTTCTTGAAGAAGCCGCTCTGCTGGGCCTGGTTCAGGGCGTTGCCGGACTGGTCCTGCTGCTGGCTCAGGCTCTCGCTGACGAGCAAGTTGCCTGTCTGCTGGGCCTGGCTGTCCTGGGCCACCAGGCTGGCGCTCTGCTGCCGGTTGCCGCTGCTGATGAGCAAGCCTGCCTGTTGGGCCTGGCTGTCCTGGGCGACCAGGTTGGCGCTCTGCTGACGGTTGCCGCTGCTGACGAGCAAGCCCGCCTGCTGGGCCTGGCTGTCCTGGGCCACCAGGTTGGCGCTCTGCTGCCGCTTGCCGCTGCCGATGACCACGACGTCGCCGGCGGCGTTGGAGGCCTTGGAGGTCTTGACGACGCGCTGCTGGCTGCGGCGCTTCGGCGATTCCAGGAGCAGGCCCTCGGTGTTGATGACAGACCTCACGTCGATGTCCAAGTTCTCCTTGGTGGGCATGGGCACGCCCATCTTGCCGATGTCATTGTTCTTGACGAAGTTGACCTCGGAGTTGGGGCAGTCCACCTTGTTCCACCAATCGCAAGTGAAGCGCTCCTGGTTGAAGAGGGAGCCGTTGTTGCAGAGGAAGGAGCTCTTGGGGGCGAGAGAGGAGCAGACGTGGAACACCTGGCAGCCAGTCTGCACGTCGGCGTAGTAACCTGCAACAGGGGGACGCGGACACGGTTAGCATCGCATCGGTGGCGACCAGCCGGGCGTATCGTGAACGGGACGTGAGCTTACCGTCGACGCGGCCCTCGCAGGTGAAGTCGGTGACGGGGATCTCCCTGAGGGTCGGGTAGTCCTGGCCGGGTTCGCCGGGGATCGAGTCCCGGAGGTTCCACTTGGTGGGGTCGTCGAAGGGGTCCACGAAGTCGCTGTCGAGCTTCTCGCCTTCCTCCTGCTTCTTCTGGAACTCGGCCTCGAGCAGCAGGCCGTCGACGTTGGGCTCTTCGGGGGGCAGGTAGTCCCTGTTCGGCTTGGCCGTCGTGGTCGTGGTCGTGGTGATCACCCTCCTGGTGGTGGGGATGACCCTGGTCGTGACTTCGGGCAGTTTGTACTCAAACTCGTAGTTGTTTTCCTTGTCGACCTGGAACGGAGAAAGCAGCGACCATGAGTACTGGAGACTTGCACGCGGGGCGCAGGCAGAGCAGGCAGGCAGAGCTGCCAGCGCCTGGGACTTACCTTCTTCAGGTTGATCTCGACGGGCGGCAGGTACGTGGGCGCGGGGGTGGTGGTCCTCACGGTCACGGGGGGCAGGTAGGTGGAGGGGGGCAGAGGCCTGCGGGTGGTGGTGGTTGGGGGTGGGGGAGGGGGAGGGCACCTGGAACATAAAGAAACGCCATTGGTTTGGACGTCTGCACCGCCATGAGTCGGTGTGGCCGCGGCAAGTAGAAAATAATCGCGTAACTTTACCTCGGGTCCCTGTTGCCGGGGAAGCAGTTAGGAGGGCACCTTGGCTCGGTGGAGCCTGGGCGGCAAGGGGGCGGGGTCGGTCGCGGGGTGGTGGTGGTGACCGGCGGCAGGTACTCGTTGTTGATCCTCACGGTGACGGGAGGCAAGTAGGTAGTAGGAGGAAGAGGCCTGCGGGTTGTGGTTGTTGGGGGCGGGGGTGGGGGAGGGCACCTGCACAGAGATTCATGCCAGCGTATCATGATCAGTTGGTGAGCACATTATTTGAGCTACCATTGCTGGGTGTGGGACTTACCTGGGGTCCCTGTTGCCGGGGAAGCAGTTGGGAGGGCACCTTGGCTCAGTTGATCCCGGTCGGCATGGCGGCTCGGTGGGCGGTGGGGGAGGCAGGTACGGCTTGGGTGGGGGAGGGGGTGGGGGCGGGCACCTGGTAAGAAATGAACTCAGTTAGTTACGCCTGTTCCCGGCATCAGCACAAATCAGATGTTGGGTGGATTATGTTTGAGATTAAGAGAGCACGGGCTACTTACCTAGGGTCTGTGCTTCCGGGGAAACAGCTAGGAGGACACCTGGGCTCAGTTGATCCTGGGCGGCAAGGAGGCAGGGTCGGGCGAGGGGTAGTGGTGGTGGGGGGAGGCAGGTATTCAATAGTGGGCTTTGGGAGTTCCAGCCTGACGACGGGTTTCGGGTACACATAGCCTTGGGTGGGCTTCGGGGGTGGTGGGGGTGGTGGGGGTGGTGGTGGTGGTGGCGGGGGTGGTGGGGGAGGAGGAGGTGGCGGCGGAGGGCACCTAAATAGTAACACAAAAAACATTATGAGTCGACATGATCTGCTGGGCGTGTTTCGACATTTGCTTCAATCACTGCCTCTGAAATGGTTCTGTGAATCGTGAATTTAGAAACTTTTTACCTTGGGTCTCGGCTGCCGGGGTAGCAGCTGGGAGGGCACCTCAGCTCGGTTGATCCTGGCAGGCAAGGAGGCTGGGTCGGGGGAGGAAGGTATTCAATGGTGGGCCTGCGGGTCGTGGTAGGTTCAAACCTAACGACGGGTTTCGGGTAGACGTAGCCTTGGGTAGGTTTTGGTGGGGGTGGTGGTGGCGGCGGTGGCGGGGGTGGGGGAGGAGGCGGGGGTGGGCGAGGACACCTGGAACAAAATAAAAAATACACGTTTTTAGCATGGCTTTGCAGATTTCCATGAAATTCTCCCTTTTTGAGACAAGACGGTGAATGTTACCTTGGGTCCGGGCTTCCCGGGTAGCAGGTAGGAGGACACCTTGGCTCGGTTGATCCGGGGCGGCAAGGGGGTAGGGTGGGTGGGGGAGGAGGCAGGGTAGGTGGGGGAGGGGGCAGGTACGGCTTAGGTGGTGGCGGCGGTGGGGGTGGGGGTGGAGGCGGCGCCTTGGGCAGTTCCAACCTCACAACAGGCTTGGGGTACTGGTACCCGGTGGGTTCGGGCTTGTTGTAGAAGTACCCTTCAAGCTTGGGAGTCACCGGCGGCACGAACACCCTCTGGGTGACGACGGGCGGCGGTGGCGGCCGCGTGGGCGGTGGCGGGGGTGGAGGTGGAGGTGGCGGCGGGGCAGGGGCCTGGACAAAGCCATCCTCGAAGGAGATCGACGGCTTAGGGTAATCGTAGCCTTCTGGAGCGGCTACGGCCAAAGCCAGCGCGCCGATCAGCAGACCTGCAACGAGAGAGACAGCAACGCGTCATTACACTGTGCTGCGACCGGTGTCAAGTGGCCCGCTGCCCGGTGCGGCTGGAGGTCGCGGCGCGCCGCGGCGTGCCGCCCGCCCACACAACAACACGCAAGTGCCGAAGCAGAACATCTGCGAGCCGGCCGCCCCCGTCCACTCCTTCCTTCTGAGGTGCAAGTGGTAAAGTCATCGCGGGGGCGCGGCCAGAGGCGGCCAGAGGCGGCGCGGCCGAGTCGGACGCATCCTCCGAGTGACCCCGACCGCCACGCCGCTCCGCGCTCCGCCATGGCGCGCCGCGAGAAAGGCGGGAGAGCGTCCATCATACTCGCCATTCTTCTCCTTTTAATCTCTCCGTCTCCGTCGCTCTCGGCGTGGGCCCCTGGTGGGGCCGCGCTGGGCCCCTGGCGCCTCATCACAATGCGTCGTTATCGGCTCGGTCGCCGCGTTGCGAGACGGCCATTCACTTTTCGACACGTCGCACTGCCTCGCAGTGCCTCGCACTGCCTCGCAGTCCGCCCGCTGGCCGGTCGCACTCTGACCCTGCAAGGACTCATCCCGAGAGTCGTTTTCGTCGCTCGCTCCGTCTCTCTCGCACCAATAAGGGATGTCGCTTGAGTGTGAGAGAGACGACTCTCGGAATCAGTCCGCAGTGCACGCTGCTGGCGGTGCGTCGCGTCGCCGCCACGTCGCCGGAGAGGGCAAGAGGGGCTTCGACGGCGACGCGACCCACGCATCGCGGGACTCGGACACTCGGTGCAGAGGTGAGGTCCCCTCGTCCAACGGGAATGAAGCCAAACGGAGCACGCGCATCGAAAAAGGCGCGAAGGAATGATTCTTACTTTTTTTAAATCGACGCGGCGACCGGTTTGGTCGTGTCGAGTCGATGAGCTCATTAGGTGCAATTTGGCGAGCAATTAACAAGCGGCTCGTCTGCCAAGGACCGCGGCGATTGCTTCCTGGACGAGGAGGACGGGGCGAGGCTCAGGAGGAGGTGCGAGTGAAATGGAAAGTGGCAAGGAGTGGGCCGGACTCACCGCGCGGCGAGCGGGTCTCGCTTTGCAGTGCAGGCGGGTATGTGTCTGTCGGGCCCGAAGCGGCTTACGATCATGTGTGGTCTAGCCCTTAATGGTAATGGTAATGGCAGCGTGGGCAGTGCCGTCAGACACGCGCGTGCTGCGTGGCTGCCTACCCTCGCTCCGTCGGGCGGCGAGCGCCTGCAGCGTGGGCCGTGCCGTCAGACACGCGCGTGCTGCGTGGCTGCCTACCCTCGCTCCGTCGGGCGGCGAGCGCCTGCAGCGTGGGCCGTGCCGTCAGACACGCGCGTGCTGCGTGGCTGCCTACCCTCGCTCCGTCGGGCGGCGAGCGCCTGCAGCGTGGGCGTGCCGTCAGACACGCGCGTGCTGCGTGGCTGCCTACCCTCGCTCCGTCCGGAGCGCCTCACGTGGGCCGTGCTCAGAACCTGCGCGTCTCAGCTTCGGCGGCAGCGCCGCCCCGGGGGGACCGAAACGGCTTGCTGCGTGGCTGCTCCCCCGCCCGTTTGGGCGGCGCCTCGGCGTGTGCAGTGTCTGTCGCACCCCGGGGTTTCTGTACCTCGCTCCTGGGAAAAGGGAAAGGCCCCCGCACGTGGGCAGTGCCCAGCCGCGCGGCGCGTCGTGCCACCCTCGCCCGCGCGCGAGCGCCGCAGCGTGGGCAGTGCCGTCAGACACGCGCGTGCTGCTGGCTGCCTACCCTCGTGTCGGGCGGCGGCGGCACTGCAGTGCCCCGGCCCGCGTTCGGGGGCCCCCGCGCTCCCGAAGCCCCGAGGCCGCAGCGGGGAAAAAGCCGTCAAAACACGCGCGTCTCTTTTCCTCCGTGGGGGGCGACCCGGCGTGGGGCCCTCCGTGCCGGTGCTGCGGGCTGCCTACCCTCGCTCCGTCGGGCGGCGAGCGCCTGCAGCGTGGGCCGTGCCGTCAGACACGCGCGTGCTGCGTGGCTGCCTACCCTCGCTCCGTCGGGCGGCGAGCGCCTGCAGCGTGGGCAGTGCCGTCAGACACGCGCGTGCTGCGTGGCTGCCTACCCTCACTCCGTCGGGCGCTCACACTGGAAGATCTCGAACTGCACCGTCTCAGCTTCTGCAGCAGCGACCGCCACGGACACCGAAACGGCTTGCATGCGGAGAAGGTCATGCAGCCCGTTGCACGGCTCGGCTGTTCTAGTGTATCTGTCCCTAACGGTTTCTGTAAATGGTCTGGAGAAAATGAGAAAATGGCCCCGCCGCACGCAGTCCCAGCTTGTTGGCGCGCGTGCCACGCCGCGCCGCGCCGCGCCGCGTGGCGGACATGGTAAGCAGGCGAAGCAGGCGCCCCTTTCTGTGTGTCGTGTCCGGCCGGCGGCACTTCAAATAATGCGGCCGCGTTTCGCGCTCCGCGCTCCCGAAGCCCCGAGCGAAACGCGGGAAAAAGCGGGAAAAAGCGCGCCTTTTTCCTCCAATGTGGCGGCGTACCGGTGCCGTGGCGGTGGCATGCGGGACGACGACGACGACGACGACGGCGACGTGCCGGCCGCGCCGCGCATGCCTCGCGCGCTCCGCTCGGCGAATCCTTTTGTGCGGGTCCGCCGCGCGTTCGCCATCGCCATCGCACAGTGGGCCGGAGGCGGCCAAAACTCTAGACGCGTTTTGAGCTCCAGAGTCGCTAAATGGGACTCGAACCGAACGTGTGACCCCACCAATGGATTCCTCGTTCGGAGAGCTATCCATTGGTGGGGTCACACGTTCAGTTCGAGTCCCATTTAGCGACTCTGGAGCTCAAAACGCGTCTAGAGTTTTGGCCGCCTCCACCGGCCTTCTGGCCCACTGTGCATCGCCTTCGCTTTCGGGCCGGTGGGAAAGTGATGCGACCGGCCGGCGGCAAGCTCGTTGTTTGTTTTTAATTCCGGGATGTCTCGCCTAGAGAGCCTCGCCGCGTCGGCGTCGCCACCGTGGCCGGTAACGTCCCTGGCGGCTGCGCGGCTGCGCCGTTGCGACGCTTTGCGTCACGGACAGGGCCAGGCCCTGGCCGCCAGGGAGGGGGCTGCCCAATACTATCACAGCAGCATAAATCAGACTCGGCGTGCAAGAATCGCAAGGACACGCGTCGTGCCGTGCCGCCAGGCCGTGCCGCCAGGCCGGGACTGCCCTGGCCGGGACTGCCCTGGCCGAGTGTCGCGGGCGGGCGGCGCGGCGTTCCCAACGGGTGAGATGTGGCCCGGCTCCCCGCGGCTACGGGGCGGGGGGTGGGCGGGGCGGGGCGGGGCGGGGCGGGGGGCGGGGACCAGTCGGTAGCCGAGCGAATGAAGTGGAGATGCCATCGCCGTAAAGAGGTTCGCCCAGGCCCAGGCCCGGGCTGCAGCCTGACAGCTTCACGCACGCACGAACGCACACTCCAACGTGGGCCGGGGAGGTCAGAGTTCGGCCGGATCGTGCCCATATCGTGACAGTGACGCCCAACGCCTTGTTCGATTTTCAGGGTCGGGACGTCGGGACGTCGGGACCGGCTCGGCTCGGCCCGGCGGGGCTCGGCTGGACGCGCGGCCCCGACCGACGCCGCCACGCCGCTCGTCTCGGACGAAAACAAAAGTGCGTCGCGGGGACGACGGCGCCGCCCTGCACGGTTGCGAGATGACGCTCCTCTATTCGGGCCATCGATGTGGATCATCTCGCCTAGTGCGTGATTCTGGCATTCTGTCGCCGCCCGGCCTGGTTATGAAAATAAGAGCGGCAAGGACGCGGAGCGCGCGGAGCCGGTCCTGGACCCCACCCGCACGGCCCGCACCCCTTGACGGGGACCCCCGGCGGCGGTGTCAGCTGGGCATAAGTTAGTCTGGCGGGTCGCGGTCGCGGCGCGGGCCGCCCAGAGGGTTTTCGAAGAGGGTCGGTCGGTGCGTCGTCGGTGCTGCGGGAAGCATCTCCGGTGACCCTGAACTCCATACGCCGCTACGCCGCTTGCGCAACGCACCGCCGGCCGAGAGGCCCAGGCCCAAGCACGACCGGTACATGCAAGTACCGCGTGCCCCGCCCCGAGCCCTCCTACGTCGCCGCGCCGCCGCCCTGCAGGCCCTGTTCCTGTTGACAGCCCTGATGGCCCGGCCGCGCTCTCACTTGAGGCACCGCGCTAATCCCGAGTGGCTCACCTCGCCGTCAAGCACCTCCCAGTCCGGCGTGGCTGCGGCTCCGCGTCGCGGGGGTCGCTCCCAAAGCTAATAACTTTTCACCATTCGCGGCGGTGGCTGGTGGCTCGCGGAGCGGTCGCCTCGGAAGAGTTGTAAATCAATGAGAGGTCCGCGGGGACTCGGCCAAGCCTCGGCCAGGCCTTGGCCTGCAATGTCCAGCGCGGTCCATCCCAAGGCTTGCGATAGAGCGCGGCCGAAGCGCGGCGCTGGAGCTGGAGCCGCGGGGACGCCGCGGTGTCCAGGCTTTGGTGACGTCATCTCAGGCCGAACGGCAGCCTGCACTGCCCTGCAGTGCCCTGCAGTGCCTAGCATTGCCTACAGGGAGCTGGAGCTGGAACCGCGGGGACGCTGCGGTGTCCAGGCTTTTTCTGGTCAGAGTATAATTTCATAATATCTGTGTGGTATTTTTAAAAAATTACTTTAAAATATTCGTTTTTAAAAAAAGACTCAACGCCTACTTTTAAAACTCTAATTCGTTTTTCAAAATCTTTAGAGCCTAAAAGGCCTTTTTCAAAAAGATTTGATGCAATCAATTTTTGTTTGAATGAAGTTGAATTCTGAGAAACACGATGTCCTTCAACTGACTAAAGTCTCGTAAAGTTTTTCGAAGAAGAGCGGAACTAAAACACCTGAGAAACTCGGTGTCCTCTGAGATCTTATGGGTTTGCAAGGCACTGTTGCAACAGGTACACTCTAAATATGGGGCGACTAAGGTACCCAGATTCTGGGCACCTTTGGCACCTTAGTCGCTGCTCAGCCATGGGTGAAGGCAGGTTCCGTACTGGTTTGTCCACCCCGAGACCAGGCGACAAAGGTGACCAGAAACAGAGCGACATTTGGCACCCTGAAAAGTGGGGCGGGCGACAAAGGCGCTCAGTTTCTGGGCACCCTATCTTTAGAGTGTAGAGGTGACTTACCGGCGCACAAAGTAATCCTCATGGCTGGGCGCGGGGCCCGGGATGGCCCAGGTCCTTTCAGTCGAGAGGGAAGGTCCTGCTCGGACCGAGCACGAGTCGCGAATGCTGGGGAGGCTGGCGGCGCCTCCCAGCTACACTCTCACACGCACTGCCACTACCACTGACACATGACACACACAGACACACGGGCAGGCCACGGCTGCCTCTGCTACTGCTGCCGCACTTGGGTTAAACTTCGCCGTTTCGGGGCTCGGCGCGGGTCTTATATTGAGACGCTGACCACGGTCCTCCCGCCACGCCCCGCAGTGCCCCACCTCGCCCCGCCCCTCCGCGCAGCGCCCCGCCGAGCCCCGGAGGGGGACCGCGTCCTTGGCGACCTGCGCTCCCATTGGCCCATTGTCCGACCCCGGTCGCGTCCCAGTCGTCCTGGCTGTCCTGGCCGCGTCGCCGGGTGGAGGGTGGCGGCGTGGCGGCCGCCTCCCCGAGGAGGTGGTGCAGACCGCCATGCCGGCCCGTTGTCCGACCCGTCCCAGTCGTCCTGGCGTCTGGCCGCGTCGCCGGGTGGAGGGTGGCGGCGTGGCGGCCGCCTCCCCGAGGAGGTGGTGCAGACCGCCATGCCGGCCCGTTGTTCGACCGTCCCGGTCGTCCTGGCCGTCCTGGCCGCGTCGCGGTGGAGGGTGGCGGCGTGCGGCCGCCTCCCCGGAGGTGGTGCAGACCGCCATGCCGGCCCGTTGTCCGACCCCGTCCCGGTCGTCCTGGCCGTCCTGGCCGCGTCGCCGGGTGGAGGGTGGCGGCGTGGCGGCCGCCTCCCGAGGAGGTGGTGCAGACCGCCATGCCGGCCCGTTGTCCGACCCCGTCCCGGTCGTCCTGGCCGTCCTGGCCGCGTCGCCGGGTGGAGGGTGGCGGCGTGGCGGCCGCCTCCCCGAGGAGGTGGTGCAGACCGCCATGCCGGCCCGTTGTCCGACCCCGTCCCGGTCGTCCTGGCCGTCCTGGCCGCGTCGCCGGGTGGAGGGTGGCGGCGTGGCGGCCGCCTCCCGAGGAGGTGGTGCAGACCGCCATGCCGGCCGTTGTCCGACCCCGTCCCGGTCGTCCTGGCCGTCCTGGCCGCGTCGCCGGGTGGAGGGTGGCGGCGTGGCGGCCGCCTCCCCGAGGAGGTGGTGCAGACCGCCATGCCGGCCCGTTGTCCGACCCCGTCCCGGTCGTCCTGGCCGTCCTGGCCGCGTCGCCGGGTGGAGGGTGGCGGCGTGGCGGCCGCCTCCCCGAGGAGGTGGTGCAGACCGCCATGCCGGCCCGTTGTCCGACCCCGTCCCGGTCGTCCTGGCCGTCCTGGCCGCGTCGCCGGGTGGAGGGTGGCGGCGTGGCGGCCGCCTCCCCGAGGAGGTGGTGCAGACCGCCATGCCGGCCCGCCGCCCGCCGCCGACGGGCGCGAGAGAGACGGCCGCCGTCGCTCCGGGGGAAGGTCGCCGCCGAAGCCATTATTGCTATCGAGTCACCGCCGGTCACTGCCATGCAGAGCAACGCGTCGGCGTCACTTTCCAGGAACGGCGGTCTTGCGGGACCGTCATGAACGTCGTGGACGACGTGGACCGCGCCGGAAGTACCGGGGAATTCCCCGCCTTGCACCGCCTTGCCCAGTGGTTCTCAACCTTAGGGTCGCGACCCCAAGCGGGGTCGCGAAATTTTTTTAAGGGGTCGCGGCGATGCTGGGGTCGTGTTTTAGGCTGATTTTAAGCAGCCACTGCGTCTGATCCGAGGCGGGCATTTTGCTCCCTCAACGGGCAGTTGGTCTTTGGACCTTCCTTTAGCATGCCTTTGTTACGGAGTGCAATTATCAGTCTTAGTTTGGGAGCAGTATTGTCTCAAAGTTGGCCGAAACGCTCAGAAATGTCTATGAAAAATCGTGTTTTGGGCCGATTTTAAGCAGCCACTGCGTCTGATCCGAGGCGGGCATCTTGCTCCCTCAACGGGCAGTTGGTCTTTGGACCTTCCTTTAGCATGCCTTTGTTACGGAGTGCAATTATCAGTCTTAGTTTGGGAGCAGTACTGTCTCAAAGTTGGCCGAAACGCTCAGAAATGTCTATGAAAAATCGTGTTTTGGGCCGATTTTAAGCAGCCACTGCGTCTGATCCGAGGCGGGCATTTTGCTCCCTCAACGGGCAGTTGGTCTTTGGACCTTCCTTTAGCATGCCTTTGTTACGGAGTGCGATTATCAGTCTTAGTTTGGGAGCAGTATTGTCTCAAAGTTGACCAAAATAGTCACAACGGTTTTTCAAAGACACTTGCGACCGTTTTGATCGACTTTGAGACAATACTGCTCCCAAACTAAGACTGATAATCGCACTCCGTAACAAAGGCATGCTAAAGGAAGGTCCAAAGACCAATTGTCCATTGAGGGAGCGAAATGCCCGCCTTGGATCAGACGCTGTGGCTGCTTAAAATCGGCCCAAAACACGATTTTTCATGGACATTTCTGAGCGTTTCGGCCAAATTTGAGACAATACTGCTCCCAAACTAAGACTGATAATTGCACTCCGTAACAAAGGCATGCTAAAGGAAGGTCCAAAGACCAACTGCCCGTTGAGGGAGCAAAATGCCCGCCTCGGATCAGACGCAGTGGCTGCTTAAAATCGGCCCAAAACACGATTTTTCAAAGACACTGCTGACCGTTTCGGCCAACTTTGAGACAATACTGCTCCCTAACTAAGACTGATAATTGCACTCCGTAACAAAGGCATGCTATAGGAAGGTCCAAAGACCAGTTGCCCGTTGAGGGAGCAAAATGCCCGCCTCGGATCAGACGCCGTGGCATGTTAAAGGAGGGGTCCCGTGGGGTCGCGAAAGTTTTCCTGGGGGTCGCGGAAATTTTTGGCTTTAAATTTGGGGTCGCGAGCCGAGAAAGGTTGAGAACCGCTGGCCTTGCCTGCGGCTGACACAACGACGCTGTCGAATTTGCCGCCCTCTGGACCTCAGTGGGCCAGAAGACCGGCGGAGGCGGCCAAAACTCTAGACGCGTTTTGAGCTCCAGAGTCGCTAAACAGGACTCGAACCGAACGGGTGACCCCACCTTGGGATGGCTCTCCGGACGAGGAATCCATTGGTGGGGTCACACGTTCGGTTCGAGTCCCATTTAGCGACTCTGGAGCTCAAAACGCGTCCAGAGTTTTGGCCGCCTCCACCGGTCTTCTGGCCCACTGTGACCTGGGCGTTCCGAAACAATTCCAGCAGAGTGGCGATGCGGTGCCCGGCGATGCCCCTCCAGCCGACGGGGCTGACCCTTGGACCCGGCGACCGGACAGCCAAAGGCAGGGCGATCATTGCGGGTCTGGCGCGACTGGGACCTGGGACCGGCGGCCCGACTCTCTGACATGGCGAACGCCGTAATTTGGCCGTTTTAGGGATCCGCGTCGGGGGACGCCGCCGTACCGCCGTGTGCACGCCTGTCTCGTCATCGCGGGGGTCCTCCCGCCGCGCCGTCCTCGCCGCGCCGTCCTCGCCGTCCTCCCACGCCCCCTCAAGGCCGCGGCCCGTGGCGGCGCACACAACGTCATGCCGCCCTCCCTCGCGCTGCTGCGCGCTGCCCACCCGAATCCGAGACCACTATCGTTTTCGAACGGTGTGATAAATGGCCCGCCTCTCATGTACTATTCACTTATTTTTCTGGCGCGCCGCGCAAGTCAAGCGAGTCAAGCCATGCCCGGCGCCGCGTGTGAGATGCAGGAAGACCGCCGCCGTCCTGCCGACGCCCCACAGTGGGCCAGAAGACCGGTGGAGGCGGCCAAAACTCTAGACGCGTTTTGAGCTCCAGAGTTGCTAAATGGGACTCGAACCGAACGTGTGACCCCACCAATGGATTCCTCGTCCGGAGAGCAATCCCAAGGTGGGGTCACACGTTCGGTTCGAGTCCTGTTTAGTGACTCTGGAGCTCAAAACGCGTCTAGAGTTTTGGCCGCCTCCACCGGTCTTCTGGCCCACTGTGCGCCCTTTCTCTCTCGCACCCAAAAGGAACGCCTCACGAGTGCGAGAGAGAGAGAGAGACTCTGCCCAGGGTGTTTAGGAGCGGGCCCTGACCGCGGCACCGCAGAGCCCGGCCCCGGCCCCGGGCAGCCCCAGGCAGGCCGATGAAGGGACGACGACGCATCCTGTGATGACTCCCCAAATGAAGGCAAACCGATTTGCGACGTCTGCGGCGCTGCCGACCGGGGCCTGCGGCTGGGAAGCCGTTTCCTCCGTGCCTCGCTGCAAATTCACTTACTGTTCTGTCTGTTCGTGTGTGTGTGTGGGGGGGGGGGGGGGCTGAGTGTGTGAGTCTGTTTTGGTTGCAAATGATCCAAACAAGAATATTCGCCCGAGAGTGTTGCACAATGCTACGGCGGCCGCTTTATGCTGTGTGTTGTTACGGTTGCAGTGGTATAGAGCAGGTTTCGAGAAGAGAAAAAAAATTGAGGAGAAGAAGGAGAAGGAGGAGAAGACGAGCCGAACAACAACACGAGCGCGCACAACAACAAGAACGCGGGGCGCGGGGCACCCGTCGTCCCTGGTTGCGGCCGGCGGGGCGGCGGGGCGGGGCGAGGAGCCGATTTGGGTCAAGTTTTAAGTTCCGGAGGAAGAGGACCCCGTCCACCGTGCGGCACAGAGACGGGTGTTGAACGCCGCCTTGTGGCAGAGGCGGACGCACAGCGACGCACAGCGCAGTGGGCAGGGCAGTCAGGCAGTCTGAGCCGCGATCGGAAAACACAAACAGACAAAGACCGGCCCCCAGCCCGGACTCAGGTTCGGAGACTTGCATCGGCGACGACCGTAAATCCAGCAGAGAGGTGAGGGCCCCGTGCAGTCCGGAGGGGACGCGCGCGACTCAGAGGGTGTCCCGCAAGGCGCGTTCCGCGTTCACGCAACCCCGCCGAGCACGGCCGGCACGCCCGGCCCGTCTCTATTTATTCGTGATACCAGGAACGTGCACGGAGGCACTCGTGGCCCGGCAGCGCTGCAGCAGCGGGCCGCCGTGTCAAGTCGGTGGCCGAGCCGGCGCCTCGTCCCGTCTCTGTCGGTGGCCCGGCCACCACGCCCCGCCCCGCCCCGCCCCGCCCCGCCACGCCGTACTTGCGGCAGGTCCTTGTAATGAGTCTGCGGCAGTCCCAAGGGCGTGCCCGTCGCGGTGCCCGTCGCGGAGCGCGTGCTCCAGCCGGTCCGGTCCGGTCCGGCGCGTGGTCGCGGCGCCGCCCGAC